GAGGAAAATTTATGAGAACATTAGTGAAGTTGTTAGTGAGAACGATAGTGAGGTGAAATTGTTGGCGGCTTTGTAAATATTTAAGGTTAAGTTAGTTTTTACGTTCATGTTGTAAAATATACGTTAACGGTTTTGTAAAGTGTCAAATTCACAAGTATTGGGTAAGGTGGAACGCAGTGCCACCATACTCAAGACTTGTATACTAACTAAAAAAAGTTATTTATCAAATTCTTCGCTTATCAGTCGTGTTTTTCATCAACGCAAGACAAAATTTCTCGATTATTTAAGGAAATCTAAAATCTTAGGAAAGATAAAAGCCCTCTTTGTTCGTGATGAATATCAACAAAGAGGGCTGCCGCACGCCAATATACTTATCTGGAGTGATTTTGATACAGATGACATAGAGAAGGTTGATAGCGTTGTTACATGCTGCATTCCTGATGATGACTTTAATTTACAAAATAAAGAGAGGAATGAAGATTTAATTCAATTAATTAAGAAATATGAAACGCATACTTGCACACATCGATGTCGAGATAAGAATGGAAAATGCATATACGGTTATCCAAAACCACCAAGAGAGCAAACTCAATTAATTAAAAAAAGATATGAATTAAAAAGAAATCAATCTGCAGCTAACATTGTTCCTTATAATCCACAATTACTAATGTTCTATCGTGCTCATTTAGAAATTGAAATTGTTAATTCTACAGAACCAATCGGGTATATGGTAAAATACGTTTCTAAAAATAATGAATCATCTGATATAACATTGCAAGAAAAAAAAATATTTTAAAGGAAAAGAAATAAAACCAAATAATTATTTATACCAGTACGCTGCATCATTGTGCGTTCCGGCATGCTATTGTTTTGCAGTAATGGCATCTTATAAACAAAAAATCTTAAATCCTGCAGTTTGTATTCTTAGTTTTCATCTTCCTGGACAAAGAAAAATATTCACAAAGCCGAATGTGGATGATTCATATGTCCAGAAGATTCTGGAATCAACAATGAGCCAGTTAGAGCGATATTTTGCCAGACCTCCGGGACCTAATATGGATGCTTTAACCTTTTGTCAATATAAATCAAATTTTATGTTAGTAGATGAATCACAATCAAATATTTTAGATTCTGGAATACCTGTTAAAGGTGTTAAAGAAAGGAAGAAGAAAAAATTTGTACATTAAAAACAGTGAAAATTGCCAATATTCAAATGTTTGCATTACGTTTAATAATATTAGCTATTGCAGCTAGGTCTTTTGATGATTATCAGACTTATGAAAATATTAGATACAACAATTTTGATGAATGTGCACGTGCAATGGGATTAATTAAAGATGATAATAGATTTGAAATTGCTCTCAGAGATGCAATTGCACATCATCGTCCGCCATCTGATCTTAGATTTTTGTTTGTTCTATTTTGCAAACAAGGTGCTCCTTTTAATATGCTTCTAAATATGTTTAAAGATAATCTAAAGGATGAAGATCATACTGAATTATTGTTTATGGAAATATTAACATCAACATTCATTCACTTAAGGGTTCCTCTGCCAGAAGAGTTACACCAATATATCCATAATATAAACCCATTTAATCATAATACAAAATTTATTTCGCCAGATTTAGAAGAACATCAGGTCGAAATTGCTGATTCTATTGTAGACTTTGTATGAAATGAACCTCAAAATACTAACAAACCAAAACTTTTATTTTTACAAGGCAGGGCTGGCACAGGCAAAACCTTTGTCATGAAGCATGTTATAACGGTGTTTATATTAACAGACCAGTCAATAGGTAGTTTAAAGGTAATTCTATTTCCATTTATTTTAACATTTTCGTCTTCAGAACTGAAAGCAACTGTTAAAGGTACTTGTCTATACATTTATTACAAACAAAAATATATCATTTATTCTTTCTTCTCAACGGATTCAGCCTTTTCCTTCTCCGCCTTTTCTTTAGCCTCACGTTCTCTTTTTGCTTTCATTCGCGGGTTCTTCTCTCTTCCTGCAGCTAATGCGGCTAACTGCTTTTCACTTAATTTCCTTTTTGGTTTTTCTGGTTTTTCTTCTGTTTTTGATGTCTTTAGTTCTGTTAATATCTGCTCACGAATTTCTTTTTTGATGGCTTCAATATCTAATCCCTGACTCATTTGATTACCGATAAAAAATTCAAAATTTAAAAATTTTATTTGAATTAAATATGAGCCTATCAAAATCTGAGAGACGATCGATTATATTAAATGATGCAAGAGGAATTCAGCATCCATTATATTATGTATCAACAAGTAAAGATGGAAAAATTTATGTAAGAAAAAGAAGAGTTCCATTAACGAATTCGGAAACTGATAAAATAGATATTAAACCTCCTCCATCTGAAACGAAATCAGAACCTAAACCAGGACCTTCGGTCTTGGCGCAGAGCGCCGAAATAAAATCAGAACCTAAACCAGAACCTAAACCCGATGTACTTTCGATAACGAATCAAGAATTAATAGCTAAATTTGTAAATTTCATTGAAAAGCAAACGGAATCAAAAAATCCAGACCCACCAGTAAAAGAACAGGAAACCAAAATTAATGAAGAGTTTGTTAAAAACGTAAAACATGAAATTATTGAACAAAAGAAACAAATTCCTCAACTAAGAAGAAGAGTTAGAATATTAAACAAAATAAATATTAGTTAGTATACAAGTCTCGTGTACTGTGGCACTGCGTTCCTCCGTACGCAATACTTGTGAATTTGACACTTTACAAAACCGTTAACATATATTTTACAACACAAACGCAAAAACTAACTTAACATTAAATATTTACAAAACCGCCAACCACTTCACTTCACTAACGAACTCACTAATGTAAAAATAAACGTTCTCACTATCGTTCTCACTAACAACTTCACTAATGTTCTCATAAATTTTCCTCAATATCTTCATCATCAGTGTTAACCCTATTGTAGTCATACTTGAAGCCATAAACTTTCTCTAACTTCTTAACGTACAATTTACATAACTTACCTTCGTCATCATATGGTTTAATGATATAACTATTTCTATCTTTATACACAGTCAATGAAAAGTCAACTGGTCTCGGATGTATTTGAAAGAACATGTTATGCTCAGGAAGGAAGAATAAATGTTTAAATGTATGTTTGTTATACTGTGGAATTCGAATGAGTTGCTTTTGTTCTGTCATTTACATCCAAATAAAAATTTTCAGTAAAAATAAAAAATAAACTTAAAAATTAATGATATCACCACCCTCACATGTATGAAAACATAGCACAAAAATAAATTTAGGTGAAGTGGTGACATCTCACCCGTTTTCTCACCTGTTTTCTCACCCGTTGAATTCATTACTTTATAACTCTCTTCCTTGGTTTCTTTTTAGTTGCTTTCTTCACGTCTGTCTCCAGCTTGACTGTCTTTCTTCTTCGTCCGTAATGATACCAGTTACTTCCACCAGTCAATGGGTCAAATGGTCTTTCGTAAGGATTTCCATACATTCCATAGGGACCATACGGAAGAACTACTGGTGGAGAAGAAACATTTTCTTTAGTTCCATCGAATCTATTTAAATGCATTGTTTCACCTTTCATCTGGTCATTAAAGTCTTTTGCGTGTTTTGCAAACTCATCGTCCTTTCCTAAAGCATTTTCTGACTCAGTCGCAACCAAATTGGATGCTTTATTTATGAGTCCTATTTTATTTAATCTTAACTTCTTTGCAACCCAGCCTCCAATCTTTCCTTTATTTGCATCTAATGTCTTCGAAACTCTTCCTCCACTCATTTTATTTACTGCGTCATAAGCCCCAAGTGCTTTTGCTCCAAATGCTAATGCTTTTGTTCCCATTGCGCCTAAAGCTGCCCAAGCTACCATTTACACCATATTAAAATCATCTCTCTTCAATATTATCTCATAAAAGTTCTCGTTACTGGAGAAAGTCAATGAAACATAAACATTCTCATGGACTTCGTCCTCGCCGCGTTGCGGCTTCATAAACTTCTTTCTTATCTCATCTATACGCTTCAAAATGTCTGAACAATTGCTAACATCTTCTACAACAGTTATTTCATCATGAATGACCTTTAAAAACAAGCTCATTTAATATGCTATTAAAATCATCTCAATAATGAGTCCATCCTTTCCATCTTTAGGTAGCACAACATCTTTCATTGAAGAAGGTTCAACAAGTCTTATGTTAAACTTACTGACAAAGTTTGTTATACTATAATGCTTCGGTGGCGAATACATATAGTTTGAAAGACATAATATAGATTTCAGCAAATTCACTTATACTGGATTTTTAACAATGTTCTCACGAGACCAAAATACCACCAATTGACAATCTTGTAAGCAATCCTGCTGAACCTTCTACTGTAAACGTCGATGGTAACATTCCACGAAGGTCATCTATTGACATCGTTGAGTCACTGAATTTAAATATTTTCTTAAAGCAATCGTCATTAATCCTAACATGGCATAGCTTTGAAGTTTTCATTCGAATATACATCTGCTTCATTAAATGTAAAACCTGACTTCTTTGCAGAGACGACTTTAAAAATCTATTGCATTTGTTTCAAAATTATACGCTATGGTAACTTCTGAAGGTAATGGATGTCCTTCCGCAGTCAGTTGTTCTCTCACTACCGTTTGAAGCTTTGTGTTAAAAAACTTTCATGTCATCTCCTGTGTCTAGGTTCACATACACAGCAACAGGAAAACTATCTTGCTTCTTTGTTTCATCATTATACCTCAAACATTAAAGTTCTTCAATAATATTGTTCTTCCTGCTGGAATACTTCGAACCTGTCTTATTTCAATAGCTTTCTCACCTCCTACATACTCTACCCAGTGTCTTGGATATTCATAAGTATACTGACTTTCTTGAATTTTGGTAGGTTTCATCATAACGTGTTCATAGTATATCTTTATACTCTTGTCAGTTAGACTCGGTGCTATGTTCTGAATATTTCTGACTTGCATTTTTAATGAAGATAAAATGAAGCATTTAATACATGACGTAGATGAAGACATGAATGAAACTACAGACAAACTTAACTCTTCTCTCATTCTTCCTTTCAGTAAGGACTATGAGTTCTGTTCAAATGGTGTGTATTTCTATTGTGGAAAGATGGGTTCAGGTAAGACATTTAACCTCATTCGTCATATACTCATAACAGAACGTTTAGGTCAAGATTCATATTATGACCAAATCATTATATCAGCAACTTCAGACTCTATGGACTCAACAGCGAAAACATTTATGTCAAAAGTTCAAGCCTCTGTCGTTAAAGTTCCAGACAGTGAACTCATTGAATTTCTTCAACGTTACATTCGACGTAAGAGGAAATATTATGCCATCGTTGAATTTATACAGTCAGGAATGCAAAAGACTTCAGAAGAGATGGAAAGAATTATTGACAAACACCACTTACGTCAATACTCAGGAGTTTACGATATGAAACGACTTACAAACTACATTCTGTCAAAACTTTCAAAATACCCCTTCAAAAAATATCCTTCAAACACTCTGCTCGTTTGCGACGACTTCGCTGGTAAAGGTTTAGTGTCAAAGCCTGACTCACCATTAGCTAACATCATTACTAAAGTCAGACATTACCACTTAACTGTAGCAATACTTATGCAAACATGGAGGTTTTTAGCTTTAAACATAAAACGTCTCATAACTGACTTCGTTATCTTTCAAGGTTTCTCACGCTATGATATTGAACTCATTTGGAAACAGTCAGGTATAACATTACCTTTTGAAGAAATTTGGGAAGCATATAAGTCTCTCATCTCTCCTCGTTCATACCTTGAGATTCATATCATGACTAATACCATTAAAGTCAAAAATATTCCATGGGAACGACCAACATTGTTTTAAAGTTTAACCTTCAATTGACTGATGGTAAACAAATTCCATGCATCTCTGTCGCCATTTCTGTTAATATTTTTGCTGTCATTCATATCATCCACTTCCCCATCCGTTAGCTTTTGAGGATATGCGTTAGAATAGCTGTTCTTAAATGAAGGCTTTTCACCTTTGAGAGCATAAACTCTATAACTTTCTGCATACTTTATGTTTGAACCTCCTGAGCCATCATTGACATAAATTTTTATAGGCTTCCACCCTTTGTTCATGTTCCTGCTTCTTCCCTTAGCTCTTTTGTTCAGTAGTTCTACATCTTTATACACAGCACCTGTCTCAGTGAATTCAACAATATTTTCATTCGTTAGCTTTACATTCAAACCCTTGTCGAGTATATTGTTCATTTCATACATATAAAAGGTTTTTATTCTATATGAAATGAGAAGCAAATCCATCTTAGCTGGTGCCGTTAATGTTCCAATTGAACCAACATCAAATGTTGACTCACGAACGACAAACAATATTGTCATAAAGAACTATAGTTCAGAGTGTTTGAAAGAGCCAGAACCAGAACTGAAATCCGTGAATTTAAACTCAGCTTCAAACGCTAACGCTACATCAGATGTTAAGTTAGAGTATCCACCACTGGACCAAATTCTTTCAAGAGAAGCCAACGACAACCCTTACACAAATGTTCAAACAAATCCTTCAGATAACGTAGACCATTACCTTCTTCAGTTATATCAAACTATCTTACTCAAAGACGATAAGAAGCTTTTGGTAAATCTTATAAGCAAGAACCAAATAATTCTAACAAAGGAGGACCTTGAAAATGTTATATCACGAATAACAGGGAAACAATGTGTCATTGACTATCTCGACCCTGAAATCGAATGCTGTGGTCAAACGCCACCATTCATGAAAATAGGTAACATCCGCATCATTGAAACACCAGGAACTACAGGAGTTGAGTTTAAGTATAAATATTCGAATGAATATACAAAACTTTCAACAGAATATAAACTTTGTTTGAAATATGTTTTAGTAAATTAAAGCAATTTGTAATATCTATCCAAAACTTCTTCACACAGTATCGAACTCATCTTCATAATGCAAACCTAATCTTATTGACTTGGTGCAGTTTTCACTAACACAATATAGCGCTTTGCGCTCGGCGCCTTTGACGCCTTTTTCTGTTCTCTTGACTGACATAACTAACTCATTTGTTTCATCAAACAGCAACAACCAAAGTTCATGACCTAATACATAACATTCATACTTTATATTTTTAGCTCTGAGTTCTCTTGTAAGCTGTTGCATTTAATATTTTCTAAAAAGTCAACTTCAACAGTCATTCGCACTGGTGCCTTCAGTTCTACAGGCTCGCCTTGAAAGTCAACAAGTCTGAATTGCATGTCTTTCAAATTATGAGGACTAATGCGAATCCATTTACCTAAATGAGTTGCTATGACAGGAACGTTTGGAATGAACATTGAATTGACTGCATAACAGAAAGACTTATATTCTACTGAACCTTTACTATTAACTCCTGAAATGCCTGTGACATTAGCTATTTTAGACTCAATGTACAAACATTACCATAACATACGTATGGAACAGATTTCATCTCAATCGTTTTGTCAACACTTTTCAAAGGAAATGTCATATGGTATGCTCCCAGAAGCAATTGAACTCTATGACTCATTCGTGTTATCTTAAACTCCTTTGCATAACTGAACTTCAAAACTCCTGCAATAAGTTTAACATTCATTAAGTTTTCTTCGTTATCCTTGTTTATTGTAGTATTTATGAGAGCATTTAACACTCCAGCTAATGTTTCCATCTTATATTCTACATTATTGTGAAATCTTATTTCGTGCTTCTTTCCATCTATTTCAAGCTCCATGAAATCTGTTTCATCTGTTATAACGAATGAAGCGATAGTATTGAAGTCAACCATTCTGAATGCAAGTGGCTCATTCTGTAGACCTAAGTTTGTTTGTAGCTTTACTGTCCCGTATTCGTTTGGGTCTGTACTTTGCAAATAGAACAACATTTTATTCTCATTAAAATATGAGTATAGCTGCATATGCGTATGAAGCTGACAGAGCTAAACGTTTATATTTTGGTCAATACTCTCTCACACTTACTGACAAATATATTGTTATCAGTGATGGAAATACCGAGAAATACATAACATGGAAGGACTATGAAAAGTTTGACCCTATTTTAACTCCATGCACTATGCCATTCATTGTAAATGGTGAAGTTGTCATGAAGAACGACACAACAGTATATAAGTCTGTTCATGAAGCATTAGAATATATGTTGAATCATAACCCAAAAAGATTCGATCCAAGCACTACACCATGTGCAATGCCTTTTATTAAGGACGGTGAAATCGTAAGAGTTCGGATTCAACGGTTTACACAGCTGTTCAAAACAGTTTACAAAACATTTTAGCGAATATCTTTAATTCAGAAACTACAGAAATGAAATTACCATATATAACAGATGCTAAAGAAATTAAATCAAAAACGACAACATTATTTACGTCACTTAATGATTTAATGACTTATATCATTAATATTCCTGCACCAACTACAGGATTTGATCCAAACTCGACGGTTTGCAGTGTACCTTTCATTAACGACAGTTCATTAATTACTTTAAGGGATTCGACAGTAAATGAATCATTAAAGGCGTCATTAATGAAAATCATTGATTTTAACTCATTCATGAATACATATAATTCATTCATTAATGTTTCATATGCTTCTAAAGAAGGTGAGCCAAAAACTATCAATAAAGCGGTGTATGAAATAAAAGCATCAACGACGAAATTGAATTCGTTAACTTTTGACGGTGATAGTTTCGTTAATGACATAACATCAGGGAAAACAATTTTAACGAAAGAATATTTAAAATCTCATGTTAGTGAGTTCGTTGAAATTGAAAAAGAAGGTGGAATTAAGTTCGATCCACTGAATTTCATTTTCAGCTTAGCGAATGCGGGTGTTAGTTTCGCTGAATGGACAACTATACAGAGTGAAATAAATGCAATATGGACGTTTTTGGGGTCAAAAGCGGGAATGGGTGAGCTTGTAAATGCTGCAAGAACATTAGGTGAAACAGGAAATTTTGTAGATGGTTTTAAAAGACTTGTTTCAAATGTTTTAACAAACACAAAGAAATTATTTAGATATACCATACATAACGGACGGATTTTCGAACAGGTAGCAACAAACCCTCCGGTTATGGCTGCGTTGATGATGGTTAGAGATATAAAACCACGTAACGACGGGAACGAAGAACATGAACAACAGAGCCCAACGGGCTCAGAGCCACATAGTGGCGAGGATACTGGTCAGGTTATTCGAGACATTAAAAACGTGTATCCTGAAGTTATTGATTTATTTAGAGGAGTTAATGATTCAATTTCAAAACATTCTATAACCCTCGATGAAGAGAATAAATTAACAGATTATATATTCGTCATTATTGCAGAATTAATGAAGAGAATAAATGAAAAAGGAATTGGTGATATCATTAATGTCAGCGATGTAATGATGAAAAGAAATTTTGACTCATTATTTACAAAACCGAAAACAGAATATAGTCTTTATGACGTAATTACCGAATTAATGAAAAAGATTAATGATAATAAGAGTTCTGGCGGAAGAGTTGAATTAGAAGTGAATGATGTTAATGAGAAATTAGCCGAAAAAGCAGATAAAAACCACGTTCATTATATAACTTCAGACGAACAGATTATAACGGACTACCATGGATATTTAACACGAAGTGATGAAGCGAAGACAAAAAATGTTAATGAAAGAAGATATAAATACATTCGTGCTAAAGGTTATGACATAAGCTGTACTGTACAGTATGATGTAGCTAAAGCACCAGAAGCATTTGGTTATACCGGTGAAATTTATGCCTCTACTTTCAATGTTAACGGTGTATTAGTTGAACCAAGATTTACTTTGAGAGTTAAGTCAAAAATAACGTTTGAAGATGCTATTAAAAGTAAAGCTGACAAAGTGAACTCGACGCAATGAACAAAGTTTTGAAATCTCATAAACACAACATCTCCGATATAAATGAACTTCAAGCTACATTAGACAGTAAAGCCGACAAGAACCATACACATAAATCCTTCACTACTGTTAGAGCAGACGACATAATATTGAACTTTGACCTTGGTTCAAGTGCACCATTAGAAATCCAAGTACAAGCGTAAAAGATACACTAAACTCCTTAAATAAAATGTATGAATATCGAAGGTCATGTCAGAAACTTTGAAACACATGAACTACCAGCAATGTTAGATAAGAAAGCAGATAAGAACCATACACATGATTTCTTCACAACTGTTGGTATAGAAAGTATTGAAGGAACGGTTGAAGAAACTGGTGGGGATGCATTATATTGTAAACCTCCTAACTTTCCACAAGGTTTAACATCGGATGACGACATAACGACGATGAGAAACATTAGATGTAAAGATGTTTATGTCATGAAGGATGAACATAATATTAAATTCACTGCTCAAGATTTATATGATAAGAAAGCTGACAAGAACCATACACATAAATCCTTCACTACTGTTAGAGCAGACGACATAATATTGAACTTTGACCTTGGTTCAAGTGCACCATTAGAAAATCCAAGTACAAGCGTAAAAGATACTCTTAACAATTTAGATAAGAGTTGCAGGAATACCGAAGATCATGCCAGAAACTTTGAAGCATATGAACTACCAGCAATGTTAGATAAGAAAGCAGACAAAACTTATGTGGATGCAGAACTAACAAAGAAATTTTCGAAACCAGATACAATGACATTTACAACAGAAATTATAAATGGTGAACCAGCAACTCCATTTGAATTTGTTAGAGGTCTTCAACCAGATACTTTTGAATTTTTCTTGGATAATTCTATTGAACTAACATTACATTATAAAAGTGGAACAAATGCAACATTTCATCCGGGAGATACATTCCAAATGGTATTTAATGACATAAGTTCTTTAGAATATGTTTATAGAGTTATGAGCATATATGATTTAATATATCCTATAGGAGCTGTTTATACGTCTATGAATCCAATAAATCCAAACACTTTATTTGGTGGTAGATGGTATGAAATAGTTGACAGTTTTCCATTCTACACTAATACGCAGTCAATGAAGATGGGAGGTTCAAAGAAAATAGGTATTGAAAACCTTCCTTCACATATGCATAGGTTCAGTGGAAGAACATCTGTGGAAGGAAACCATTCACATTCAATAACAAAAAGAGGTTATATAAATCTTGCAGCGGGTTCGAATAGACAGGGAATGAACAGATATGATATCACAACTGACCCCAAAGATGTTAGCACAGGTATTTTCTGTGGAACTGCAGGAAATCATACACATGTTGTAGCTGGTATTACAGACCCAGCAGGTAATGGAAAAGATTATATGCCTCCTTATATAACAATGCACGCTTGGATACGAGTTGGTTAAAATCTTTAACTTTACATAAATGAGTTTGAAAGAAGTATTCGAACAACATCCATGGAGGTCTTTTAAGAAGTTCAATGAAGCTGCAAAGAGTTGGGGATTTACTAACAGAGCTGAAGTGAAAAGGTTCTTTGACAAAAATGTTGTACATCAAACAAAAATAAACCCTTACGACTACTTTTTACCAATTTACTCCAACACTCCTGACGCATACCAATTTGACACTCTCATTCAAAGCAGAAAATGTGGTCATAACCCATTCCTCATCTTCATTAATGTTAACACTCGTAAAGCATATGCATATCCAATGAGGAATAAAGGAACTCGTGAAGTGTTAAGAGTTTTACAAAAGTTTGTAGCAGAACATAGCCCAAGTACTTTAACATCAGACCAAGACAGTGCATACCTCAGCAATGAAATCACAGATTTTCTCATTAAGCATAACATAACTCACTACACTACTGAAGACCATAACCATAACATACTCGGTATCATTAATCGCTTCATAAGAACGCTCAGAGATTTAAATCAAGAGCGAGACTTTACCGAAGAAACAATGAAACATTTTCTCGAAGTATATAATTCCTCAACACATTCTACAACAGGACATACACCAAATTCAATGACACAACAACAAGAAGAAAAGTATATACAAAAGAAACGAAGCCAAACACAAAATATCAGAAATTCAACACAATTTACCCTCATTCCTGGTACAAAAGTTCGTGTAGTTCTTGACGACAAACCATTGACAAAGAAACGTTTAAGGTTAAGTAGAAACTATTATATCGTAGACTCTACGCAAGGTAATGGATATCTTATAAAAGCTGCTGACGACTCTATTGCGTTTTACCCTCGACATAAATTAGTTGAAAGTAGTAATGGCGAACTTGCTGAAACCATTGACGAAGCAAAGCGAGGAGTGGTTATTGAAATACTTGACTACAACATAAACGATGACACTTATAAAGTAAGATATGAAGGAGGCGTTGAAGATGTTATACCATCTAAGAACTTGAGAGAATCTAAACCAACTCATCTGGGACCATTAGAGCGGGAGTACTGGAAAGATAAAAACATGCCAGAAAGAATAAGAAAATTCTTCTAAACTTTTTCATTAGATGTAAATCAGACAAAAATAATGTTTAGGGTAGATGGTTAGATCTAACCTCTTTTTTCACCTGTTTTCTCACCCTCGTGAATTTTCATGAATTTCCTTAAGACAGAAAAAATAAAGTTAGTTTTATTTTATTTATTTTTTTATTTTGTATGTAAGAACAGATATGTCAAACATTGAGTTTGAAACAGTTAGAAAGATAGACAATGACACTAAAGTGGTTAGAATAGGTGATTTAAACGTAAGATACTCAAAGAAATACAACAAATATTCTTTGTCAGACATTATATCTCCATCTGAAAAGAAAACAAACCACTGGGTTAGAAATGCTTCAACTCAGAAAATTTTGACAAGAAATCCTGAGCTTATGATATCAGTAAGATTCTATGGAACTACAGCATATCTTATAGACAAAAGTCTTATACCAATAGTTTTGTTATGGATTGACCCGGTTGTTGGATATAACTTCATAACTTATGGTTCATTCGATACGGAACGTTGCAGTGAAGGCTTACTTTACATCGTTCAGAAACCGAAGGACTTCAATACAAAAAGATATAAGATAGGAAGAACATATAATATAACTCAAAGATATGACAGTACAGTCAATAGAGTCAAGGTTGTGTTTGTTAATGATATGAGAGCTGCTGAAACAGAACTACTTGAAAAGTTTGAGAAAATGTATGGTGCTCCCATGAAAGGTAAAGAAACGTTTGAAGTAGATGAGATAGATAAAGCTATAAAATTATTTGACGAAGTTGCTGAAAAATACATGTAAAGCGTTTATTTTTGGTCTTTTGTGAAAGTCAGAAAATAACGCTAATTTTTTTCTAACAAATTTTTTTATCCTGTATGTAAAGACAGATATGTCAACATTAGAGAACACAACAACTGCTATCGTTCATGAAGTCATAAATGAAGAATACGAATACATACAGTATAACAAACAATTGAGACTCATTCGTTCTGTCAAAGACGACATGTACCAAATGCAAAGTATTTTGACGGCTTGTTTTGCTCCAGATACTAAGCTTCCTAAAGACTGGTTTAGGAACCAAAGCACCATAGAACTATTAAGTGAAGCACAGCGAGACGTACTTTTTTCTGAAAACAGCGAAGCACAGCGAGTGGGTAAAAAACCCCAGTCGCCAAAACTCTATGAAAACCGTGAAAAATTGCCAAACGGTTTGAGAGGATATTATGTTCATAGACTTTTAGTAAATGCAGTTGCAATGTGGGCTTCACCACGTTATGCTTGGAATATTTACAAACTTCTTGACGAACTTCACAGACAAGAACGTGGAGAGATGGAAAAGAAACTTCAAGCAAAAGATGAAGTCATTGAATCCAAAGACAAAAGCATACAGAAAAGAATACCACGTTCAGTACCAAAAGGAAAGGAAAAGAGTTATAAGTATATGATTTACGCTGAAGAGTTGGAGAATGAAGAAGATAAAGATATGGTTATGTTGCATTTAGTCAGAAGAAACAACAAAAGCTTTTACGACCTTGCTAAAATATATAAATCTGACAGAAACTGGTTCTATCGTGAAAACTTACCGATTTCAATGACACCGAATGAGCAAATAAAAGAAATTGTCAAAAATACTCTTCCTCAAACACACTATGACATCAAAGGTTGCACAATACTTACCTTCAAAGAAGACTTACCATTACTGAAGGAAAAAATAACAGAATATTTCGATAACTTCAAAGAGGAAGAATGAACAAAAATATATTTTTGGTTAAATAGCTTCAGGGTCAATTTCTTCAACCATTTCACTTCCTTCGTCAATGTCAATTGAAGCTTCTTCAACCTTTGGTAAGAACTTTTGTATAACATCTTTGTTCGTTATTGTCTTCAGAGATGAAGGATAATATTTCACATTTATTTCACCCTTCTTATATTCTTTCTGTTCGGAAAGATTTAAAGCAATACTGAAGAAGTCAATGTTGGAGTTCTTTATAACAGTATAATGAGTATCTTTGACATTCACGAAGAAACCCTTTTGTTTCAAAACTACTGCTAACTCTTGTGAAGTATAACGTTTGCGGTCAATGACAATAGCTAATGGTCTGACATACTGACCGAACTTAGATTCTTTCACAAACTTCTTGTTAAAGATAACATTGACGTTTGAAGCACCATTGAACTCATTCTTGATGGCAGTAGCGAGAGCATTGTATGAAAAGAACTTGCAATCTTGCATGTGTTTCATTAAAATAAAAATATTAAATTATTTTGAAAAATAACTTAAAAAATGTAATCTAATTTTTCAAAAAATATTTTTTATCCGATAGAAAAGATGACAGAAAAATTAACTTTTTACATAGCGCCAGACCCTTCTTGCCCACATCCTTTTAAGCCACAATATATAGACATAGAACTAAATAGAGAAAGCGAAATTCCACAAATAGAAGAAAGCGAAATTCTACAAACAGAAGAAACATATAGAGACCTAGATAACGAAACTGGATATGCACTATTCTGGTTAGATTGTCCTTATGAAATGTATGAAAAAAAGGCTTTATATGAAGAATATAGAAAATATTGTCATGAAAACAATATAAGACCAAGCTCTAGAGAAAAATTCTATGCTGGTATAAAACATCTTTTCGAAGTTCGGAATGGCAAATATAGAAAGAAATAATTTTTCTAAGTTTATTTTTTCAAAAAATATTTTTTTTATTTCCTACTAAAGATGTATCGGAAGTTGTCTAAGTTAGAACACTCGGAAATAAAACAACTTCTTACAGAAGCTAATATAGATGTTGCAAAACATTACACAACAAACAAAAAGGCACTCGCTGACTTCATTAAAGACTACAATGGTGCAATAAGTTATGATAGAATTCATGAGTTCATAAAGCCGCAACGCGGCGAGGACGAAGTCCATGCAAGAGCATTTCCTTTAAATGACATTGCTATTGACTTATATCATAGACGTTCAGTACCTCATGAAGTAAGAAGAGAAATGTTTGACATAACAAATGCAAACGTTGGTGAAACAAGAAGAAGAGACGACACACTGAAACAACAGAGAAGAGAGATGTTTAAAAGTGCTATAGAACAAGTTCGCAAAGCTAACGATGTCATTCGTTCCATTGACGACAAACCAAAAGAAGGTGAGAGATGGTTAAAGAAAGATGAAGAAAATAGGAAGAGGAATGTGAAGTCAGGCAATAGACTCATTGACTTTAACATCGAAGCTTTAGATGAACCAAACAGAGAATATTTACACAAACATTTCGGTAAGGTTTTCATGAGACTCTTAGAGAAGATTAAAATAAACTCGCAACAAAGATGGATGGTATGTTATAAACTTGGTGGAAAGTATGAATGTTCTACGTTAAACCTCAATAATATTGGAACATTACTACATCAGCTCTTGAAGGAGAACTTTATATCAGAGATAGAAGCAAATGCTGCAGGTATTGTTGAAATGCACTATGACTTCTTCTTGACAAACATAAAGAATCTTACTGAAATAAAGATGTATGATTTAACAGAATATGAAGGCTTAACGATGTCAGATGTAAAGAAAGGCAAACCAAAAAAGAGACCATATAGAGATGAAAGCACACTGACAAATGACCAGAAAGCCATTTTGGAAGCTCTTAAGCAAACAGGAAACCCAGCACTTATAGAAAGCTTTTGGAAAGATAATGGTGAAAAGAAGTTTTATAAGAAGAGAAGCGGTCAGTTATGGAAGTATCTTTGCACATTACCTATAAATCTTGAACGCTACCAAATCTTCAATGAACTGAACAAAAGAACTGCAATACTTATGACAGAGGACAATTGTTTCGTTTATGCTTGCATTCAGGCTGGAGTAAATGAAGAAACTATTGACCACATGAGAGAAGTCATTCGTGTTAGAGACTTTCCTCAAAGTAAAGTACAAGAAATTTCTGACGCAACAGGTATAGCATTTAATGTTACCATTGGTTATTTCAATGACTCAAGACATAATGAAATAAAGAGATATATACCAAAAGAATGCGAAACTGTTAGAACTATTGACTTACTTCTTGTTGAAGACCACTACATGCTAAATGAAAGACTTCCAATGACAACATACTTCATTCGAAACTATAAAGAAATTCTCAAAGCTTGTGGTGGAATGAACATTGAGAAACAGATGAAGATTTATACAAAGAGAGAAGATAAATATGTAGTTCGTTATGATAGAACAACACCGTTATGGGATGTTATGAAAACATTGTGGGAGTGCAAATATTTCGAACCTATTTCTTATGGAGAACTTTTCACATATACTACTGACTTATATAAACAGAACCTTGCACCATTTAAAGATTTGACATATGCTCCAAAGTATTGTGTACAACTGAAGAAGAAAGCAGAGTCAAAAGAAGTAAATAAAGCTAAATGTAAATTCATTCCTGAGCACGTTTTCTTTGCTGACTTTGAGTGTAGTACGGATGGCTTTCATAAAGCTTTTAACATCTGTTATGACAGTGAAGATGGTTCAGTGAGTGAAAGCATTTGGGGTCAAAACTGTGCAACAGAATTTTTGGAAAGACTCCCTGACAAGAGTTTAATATATTTTCACAACCTCAGTTATGACATAAACTTCATCTTAAGACACATGACAGAAGTGAAAGGAACTCCCATCATTAAAGGTTCACGAACAATGCAAATAACTGGTTTATATAAAGGACGGGCAATTATTATAAAAGACTCTTACAGTGTTATAAATAAGAAGCTTAAACTATTTCCTGCTATGTTTAACTTACAAACAGGACCGAAAGAAGTATTTCCATATAACTACTACAGCAGTGTTTTGTTAGCAAATGACAACAGAACTGGTGTCATTTCTGAAGCATGTAAGTTTATCCGGGATGCAGATACATTTATGAAAAACATAGATTCCATCAAAGGTTGCAGAATAGATGAGAACCACTTCGACTTAGAAAAATATAGCACGTTTTACTGCAAACAAGATGTAAGAATTTTAAGAGAAGGTTTTGTAAAGTTCCGCAATGACTTATTGAAAGAGTTTGATTTAAACGTTTATGACTACGTTAGTATTTGTTCAATTGCTAACAAATTGTTTGAGAACAGAGTATACTTCCCGAATGGAAATCTTTATGACCTCTCAAATAAACCAAGAGAATTTATTTCGAGATGCATTCAAGGTGGAAGATGTATGTTGTCAGATAACATGAAACAAAAGAGCAAAAAGAAACTCATTGCTGACTTCGACACTGTTTCATTATATCCTTCAGCTATAGCAAGACTTTATACTTTAGAAGGTATTCCAAAAGTATTGAAGGAAGAAATGTTAAGCACAGAGTATCTCATGAGACATTTATTCGATGATGACCAAAAGGAACCCATTGGTGAAAAGTTTATGTCTGGCTTCTTTGTTCTCATTAAGATAACAGAGATTGGTATACCCAGACACTTTCATTTAATAGTTTGCGACCCTGAACTAAATCCAGAACTTAACGTTCCAAGAAGTTCAAACACTTGCTGTCTCATGTATGTTGACCATATAACATTACAAGACCTCATAAAATATCAAGGTGTCAAATGTGAAGTGTTGCAAGGATACTATTACGATGGAAACAGAGATATGAGAATAAGAGATGAAGTAAAGAAGTTGTTTGAGTTAAGGTTAAAGTATAAGAAAGAAGAAAACCCCTTACAAGAAATTATAAAACTCATTCTGAACAGCATTTATGGCAAAACTATTCTATCTCCTATTGAGTCAAAAATAACCATAGTAGATGACAAAGATGCTATAAGATATGCTATAAGAAATTACAACCATATAGTGAAGTTCGAAGGTTTGGATGGTTCAGATAAAACTATTTTCAAGCTAACGAAAAGCATTTGCAGACACTTTAACTTCTGTCCACTTGGTGTTAATATTCTGTCTATGTCAAAACGTATTATGAATGAAGTATTCTGTACTGCAGAGGACATGGGTCTTCAAATATTTTACCAGGATACCGACAGTATGCACTTATATAATGAAGACATCCCAAAGCTTGCAGCAGAGTTTAAGAAGAGATACGGTAGAGAACTTATAGGAAAGAACCTTGGTCAATTTCATAGCGACTTTGCAGAAATAACACCTGGAAAACAAAGTTTAGCTTATAAAAGTATTTTCTGTGGAAAGAAGACCTACATAGACTTACTCACGAATGATTTAAATGAAGTTGCATTTCACTGCAGAATGAAAGGCGTGAAGCAAGATGTTATTGCTTTAACCGCTAATGAAATGTTTCCTGAAGCTATACAATGCTATTACAATGAAGATAAGAACATTCACATACCTGTTGGAACATATGACAAAGACTCTGAGTTCAGTTTAATGAAACTTTACAAAGCACTTTATGATGGTCAAGAGATTGCATTCGACTTATGTAAGTCATGTCAACCTTGCTTTGCTGAAAAGTTCAACTTTTCAATAACGACTAAAACAAGCTTTATTCGTAAGTTGAAGTTCTGAGGTCATTTATTTTTGTCAGCAATGAGGTCAATGAGGTCATTTGTGATAAAAATAAGCCGCTAGCGGCATGGGCGAAGCCTATGTGGTCATTTACAATACAGCTATTGTAGAGTTTAACAATTGTGCTTCAATGTATAAACAATCTTTCCCATCTGGAGGTAAGAACACTGGGCACTTATGGTCATGAGTGGAGAACATGTCTATCCAAAACTCACGATTGAAGCCAGTAATTGTAATACTTAGGATTTGACAGTGGTGAAGTTCTTGTATGACCAATGAACTCATTTTCAACTCCCTTACTTAAGTTTGAATATAATATAGCTTGCTTTCTATCCCAAATGCCAGGTGTTACAATCTTTGAAAATTCATTTTTCCTCGGAAGTATTGCATCATAATTGAAAACATTCTTGAAGTCTTCATTGGGTTCAGAGATTTGAAACCTTATACGTAATGGATTTTCTTTCTTTTTAGCGACTTCATTGAATGGTGAATATATAACAAACTGACAGTCATGAGTTCCATCTTCATTTTCATTAAATTCATAATGAAAGTCTATAAGTTGTGGCTGACTACCTTCTTCTTTCAGTTGTGCAAGAAACTCACGTAAAGGCTGTAAAGTTTGTACTTCAATATTGAACTTTTTCTCGAACATCTCATTAAATGAAATCATACATTGCAACAATGTTGTATCGTCTTTAAAGTATTTGTATATGTGAATGTTTTGGGCGCTTAAAGACTGTTCGTCATTTTCTATCTCGACTTGAAGTATAAAGTCAACCTTTCTGAAAGCACGTGTTATATACATAGATGTTATGCCAATGTACTTCTCTTCATTTATGTTCACAATCCAGTCTGTTGGAAACTTAAACGTTACTCTGTTCCCCTTTATTTTGACGTCAGGGTTTTCACTACTGAACGCAACAGATAAAGGTATTTGTCTATACATTTAGTTTGGATAAAAATAAACCATTTACTCTTTCTTTGCTTCAGCTTCCTTTGCTTTTGCTTTTGCTTCTTCTCTAGCTTTTTTCGCCAGCAAACGTGGGTTCTTCTGTCTTCCAGCAGCTAATGCAGCTAGTTGTTTTTCACTAAGTTTTCTCTTTGGTCTCTCTGGCTTTTGTTCTGGTTTTTGTTCCTTCAGTTCGGATAAAATTTGTTCACGAATTTCTTTCTTCAATGCTTCAACATCTATGACCCCTTGGGTCTTGTCCGTAGGATTTGACTGAGTCATTTGACTGTAGATAAAAAACTAAATTAAAACTTTAACCGATGTAAAATGAGCTTGTCAAAATCAGAACGAGAGTCTATTATATTAAATGACGCCAGAGGAATACAACATCCTTTCTATTATGTAAGTCAGAGTAAAGATGGTAAAATATATGTAAGAAAAAGAAAGGTTCCATTAGCGAATACAGAGAGCGACAACATTAAGGTGCATGGCAAGGGTGAAGTCCACGAAGCCCATATAAAACCTTCTGTACAAACTGAACCAAAGAACAAGAAGAAAAGAAGCCAGATGTACTTTCAATAACGAACCAAGAGCTTATTGCAAAGTTCGTGAATTTCATTGAAAAGCAAACCGAGTCAAAGAACCCTGACCCACCAGTGAAAGAAGTTGAGACAAAAGAGAATGTACAGTTCATTGAAAATGTCAAGAAACAACTTCCACCACGAATACCAAGAAGAAGAGTGAGAATAATGAAGTAAATAGATATTTTTATCTGAAGTAAATACATGCAGAACGAACAGTTAAACGAATTTACTCCAGCAGAGCATATTCATCAGATTCGCTCATATTTCGATATCATAGACAATGCAGTTCAAATTGGTGACACTAATAGAAAATATTCTGACGCAAAGATTCCATCACAACCTGGAACTGCTAAAGATAACACATGGGTAACATTCAATCTCTCACCTCCTGGTGAAAATATGTTGGACCTTTACAATACATTCATTACGTATAAAATGGAAGGTCAATTTATTGTAGATAAAGAAATTGGTTCAGGTTCCAATAAAACAAACCCACCAGGATTTTGGATTGGTTTCGATGACGCTTTCTATGCAGTTGCTGGATATCAAATCCTTGCAAATGGTCGTATCGTATATTCTCAAGACAACGCAAGAGAAGAAGCATATATAACTTCAAACTCACAAACTACCGAACAAATAAAGAAAGTAGATGTTTTCTCAAAGACTCGACATGAAGATGTATGGAGTCATTCGGGAACATGCAGAACAGGACAAATTGTTGGTGGTCCAATTACAGCAGGAAAATCATTTGATTTTAAGCTTCGTTTAAGAATTCCTGTTAGAAGATTCCTTCCATTAGAACCTATTCGATTTATTCCAGCTTTTGCAGGAAACATTCAGCTTAAAGTAAAGTTCAGTAGCGACGCCTTACAATGCACATCTATATCTGTAAATGATATCATTGCTTTTAATCCAACTCTTAAAGTTGCATTTGCTTCAGATTCAAATCCACCGACAAATAAATTTGTTCCATGGAATGAACCATTCACTATGATAACGAAGGCAGTAGAAGCTATGGAACAGTTACTATTACAACTGTAACCCAGCAACTATTTCGAACAAAGATGGATTTTAATGAATGTTTCATTCATCCAAAGTCATTCTCTTTAGACCCTAACATTTATACAGAACTTGTAGAACATTATACAAACGAGGCTTTATGTTTTCCTGTTAAAGTTATGGATTGGATTCCTATGGACGGTTCATTCTCAAAGAATACAGATAGTTCAAGTGCAACATTTACAGCAGCTTATACGCCTATTAATGTTAAAAGTATTTGGGCACTATTTAGAAAGAAAGACAACTATTATGTTAATTTTGAGAACCCTAAGTTTAAATATCTTCAGCTTTCCATGGGAGCTTATGGAAATATGCCTGCAGAACCTGAAAAATCATATGGACCTGTATTTTATGAAATGGTTGCGAACGCTTGCAATACAAACAATGATATGATTGGATTTAATGAAGATGTTATGAGGTCATTGGTGGATGATGGTAGTGTGGAACATAAATGGGATAGCTATGACAACACACATTTCTTATGTGGTTTTCCAACAGAAGTGGACTTTTGCTTCCAACAAGGTCAAACATCTACTGCTCCAATAACATACAAATTGTCTGTTAAAGGACCTATTGAACTAGCAACAGAAAATGTACCAAAGCCACTTATTGGATTTATGAGGGATTGTTGCTTTGCAATACAAGTAAGACAGTCAGGCATACCAATAATAAGACTTGACGACTATAACTTAGCACTGACGACAGTGAGGAATAAAGGATGAACGTTTATTTTTAAAGCTTATAAATGAGTTCTTCATCAAGCTCTCGTGAACCTTCACCATCTATGAAACAAACTTTACCAAACGATTATGGAGCACCTATTGAATATTTCTTACGAGCTGCACAATGGCAAAGAGCAGTCACCAAGGTTAGGTGTTCCACCAGCTCCTGTCAAAAATAGCATTTGGTCAAGTCCTTATATAAGATATGGTCTCCCACTAGGTTTGCTAGCTACAGCAGGAGCAGTTATGATGTTGAAAAGAAATAAAGCAAATGTTATAAATAATACTGAAGTAGCTGAAGTTAAACAAACTCCAACACCATCGCCAAAACCAACGCCTTCACAAACAACACCTTCACAAACAACACCTTCAATGACTCCTGAACCTATGAAAGTACAAACTCCTGTTCAAAAGTCAACTCCAAAACCGACTCCAACATTTAAACCAGAACCTACTCCTCAAATAAATCGTAAAACTCCTGCGTTTCCTTACTGAAAAATAACGTTATTTTTATTTAATATTAAAATTTTTATTTGATTGAAATGACGACTAAAGTCACTGAAGCAATGAAACAAAAATTTTTGGTAGAATACATTAAATCAGGAGCGGTTCCAGAAGGTTTTTACGTTCATACTATGAAGGATGGTAGAGTTCAGTTTAGAAAGATAAAGCAACCATTAGATAGAGAAGGTATATTAAGGAAGATTAAACTTCATGAGGACAACATTGCTGAACTTAAGAAGAAGTTAGAAGAGTTGGAGAAAGGAAGAGAGTTATAAAGTAATGAATTCAACGGGTGAGAAAACAGGTGAGAAAACGGGTGAGATGTCACCACTTCACCTAAATTTATTTTTGTGCTATGTTTTCATACATGTGAGGGTGGTGATATCATTAATTTTAAGTTTATTTTTTATTTTTACTGAAAATTTTTATTTGGATGTAAATGACAGAACAAAAGCAACTCATTCGAATTCCACAGTATAACAAACATACATTTAAACATTTATTCTTCCTTCCTGAGCATAACATGTTCTTTCAAATACATCCGAGACCAGTTGACTTTTCATTGACTGTGTATAAAGATAGAAATAGTTATATCATTAAACCATATGATGACGAAGGTAAGTTATGTAAATTGTACGTTAAGAAGTTAGAGAAAGTTTATGGCTTCAAGTATGACTACAATAGGGTTAACACTGATGATGAAGATATTGAGGAAAATTTATGAGAACATTAGTGAAGTTGTTAGTGAGAACGATAGTGAGAACGTTTATTTTTACATTAGTGAGTTCGTTAGTGAAGTGAAGTGGTTGGCGGTTTTGTAAATATTTAATGTTAAGTTAGTTTTTGCGTTTGTGTTGTAAAATATATGTTAACGGTTTTGTAAAGTGTCAAATTCACAAGTATTGCGTACGGAGGAACGCAGTGCCACAGTACACGAGACTTGTATACTAACTATATTTTTATCTAACATAAAACATGCAAAACGAACAGCTTAACGAATTTACACCAGCTGAACATATCCATCAAATTCGTTCATATTTTGATGTAATCGATAATGCAAAGAGGAAGAATGAAAAAAATCTAAGCTAATTTTATTTTTTTATAAATTTTATCTCATATGAAAGAACATGAATTTAGAATATTCAGAACTCATGACAGAAGAAGAGAATGAACAACATATAAAAGATTATGCAAAATTTCTGAAGACATACAAAGCATATAAACAATATCTAGAAGCTTCTAAAGATTATGCAAAATTTCTAAAGGTATATAAAGCTTCTTATATACGAAAAAAGGAGATTTGACAGAATGTCAAATCTCCTCAAAAAGTGACAGTTTACATGGCAAACAATTGCGAGCAATTTTTAGCCATTTTGGCTGAGAACTAGGGTCTGCCAGGTACATAGATAGAATCAGTACCTCGCAGACTCTAGTTCTCCATATGGCGCCGAGAAATTTTGGTGAAATGCGACGACATTTCACCAAAATTTTCTCGACGCCATAGGATGAATTGGAGGGTGTGAGATACTATTACATATAATAGTACTCACACCCTCCAAAACCTCGAAAATCTCAAAATTTCCTGCAATTATCATCAACTTTGCATAGCACAATCGGCCAAAAATTTATTCAATTGTCCTTCTTCTCAATATTTCTTAACTCTTTCGATTTCTTTCAAAATATCTTTCAATAATCTTTCAATGATAAATATTATACAAAAACGATTAGTATGAAACTTTTTTGCATTTTAAAAATATTTTATATTTCTGTTTTTATTTCAATTTTTATATTTTTATTTTCCTTTTTTTAGATGAAACTTATTTGTTTACCAATATTCCTTATTTTATAAAATTTTTCAATTGAATACTACAATAATTTTATCTCTCCTTTATTAAATTTTCGATTTTTATGTTAATTCTAATTCTTTGCACTATTTCTTGTCTAAATCTTCTAAAATTTTTATTTTAATTTAATTTGACACATAATCATCCTTTTAATTTTCGATTCAAATCCTTATCCTCTTCATTATTTTTCAATAATTTTTTTATCGTAATTTGTAAAATTCGTTCTTTTATAGCTGTTTAAATAATCCAAAACCATGATATTTATTATTGTTAATTATTCCTAATCATGTTTTTTCCATTAATTTTAATTTTTTATTTTCTGAACCATTTAAATTAATTTTGTTAAGAATATTTTTTCAATATAGACTTCTGAAATAATTAAATTATTCTCAAATTCTCACAAATTATTTCATTTCAAATTTGTTTAAAATGAATTTGTACACCTTAGTTGATTCAGCTTGGCTTGAAACAGCTCTAGCACAGATTCAAAGGCGCACACCGTTAGCCATTGTTCTCACAAATGTTCCATTAGTCAACAACACTATTCGTTCATCAATTAACAAGATAACATTTTACAAAGCTCTCTTATGTAATAGACTAATTACTATTGAAGAGTACTTACATCATACATACAAACTTCAAGAGTTTACTACTTTCTACATTAAATATAATAATCGACTCTACGAGTGTTCATCCATTTTGAAACACAGAGATGACACTCTCCTTACCGATTATTTGATATTACAAAGTTCAAACGACTCTCGTATACAGGAAGAACCCTCATCAGCCAGCACTCCTCTACAACGCCAGCTTTCATCAGCCAGCACTACCAACTCTGTTCCACAGCAACAGCTCTCAACAGCCAACGCTCCTCTACAAAGCCCACTTTCTGCCAACACCCCGCCACAACGCCAGCTCTCTGCCAACGCTCCTCTTCAACGCCAGCTTTCATTAGCCAGCAGTACCAACACTCCCCCACAGCCACAACTCTCTGCCAGCACTCCCCCACAACGCCAGCTCTCTGTCAACTCTCTTCCACAGCAACAACTCTCTGCCAACACCCAGACACAACGCCAGCTCTCTGCCAACTCTCTTCCACAGCAACAACTCTCTGCCAACACCTCGGCGCAGCAACAACTCTCTGCCAACACCCAGACACAACGTCAGCTCTCTGCCAACTCTCTTCCACAGCAACAACTCTCTGCCAACACCCAGACACAACGCCAGCTCTCGGCCAACACTCTTCCACAGCAACAACTCTCTGCCAACACCCAGACACAACGCCAGCTCTCTGCCAACACTCTTCCACAGCAACAACTCTCTGCCAACACCCAGACACAACACCAGCTCTCTGCCAACACTCATCTTCAACGCCAGCTCTCTGCCAACACCTCGGCACAGCAACAACTCTCTGCCAACACCCAGACACAACGCCAGCTCTCTGCCAACACTCTTCCACAGCAACAACTCTCTGCCAACACCCAGACACAACGCCAGCTCTCTGCCAACTCTCTTCCACAGCAACAACTCTCTGCCAACACCTCGGCGCAGCAACAACTCTCTGCCAACACCCAGACACAACGCCAGCTCTCTGCCAACACTCTTCCACAGCAACAACTCTCTGCCAACACCCAGACACAACACCAGCTCTCTGCCAACACTCATCTTCAACGCCAGCTCTCTGCCAACACCTCGGCACAGCAACAACTCTCTGCCAACACTCCCCCACAACGCCAGCTCTCTGCCAACACTCAGCCTCAGCCTCACCCATCTGTGTCTATTCCCCTTAAGCGCGGGAGACCCAAAGTTAATGTACCAAAAGATCTTAAGGTAACTATTAGAAACCTAATTGAGCAGCATGGCCATCTTGGAATAATCTCCGCCTATAACCAAATAAATAAAGATATCGAATATGCCAAATCTCATTTTGAGGCATTTTTGGACATGAAGACGGGTATTGTTCCACAGCCAACGCCTACCCAAGCATGGTTCTCCGCTATTGAACGTTTTAAGCCCCTGAATCAAATTTCTTCCACAATTCCTTCCGGACTTATGATTGAAGAGTCTCCATTATCATTTCCATCTGAGCTGAGGAACATTAAATATCTTACAAACCCTCTTCCACATCCCCCCTCAAGACATATGGTAGAAAGAGCTTTTAGAGAGCTAGGCTTGGCACGTCCAAGGGGACCCTATCGGCCAAAAGGAAAGACAAGATACTTAGCTGCCTTTCCTAACCAAATATGGCACGTTGATATCCACTTTCTTGGCAAAAAGAGAAGTCAGATTCTTTATGCTGTGATTGATGACTGCACAAGGCTCATCATAGAATGGCAGCATCTTTCGTCAAAACATGCTAGCCAAACAGTGAAAGTATTTAAGAGAGCAATAGCCCGTTATGGACCACCACATACAATTTGGTCCGATAATGGCGGCGAGAATAAAGGCGAGTTCCTAAAGGCTATGAGGGTTCGGGGGATCAATAATGTATATATTGTCCCCCATTGCCCATACCAAAATGGGAAAATCGAGCGCTTGTGGCCTAACATAGAGAGCAGAGAGTTGTCATGGGCAAAGATTCAACAATGGGTTGAGTACTATAATGCTAAACCTCATCTAGCATTACCAACTCATTATGTGAATGGAAAACAAATTCACTATAGCCCATCTGAAATGTGGAAGAAACTTCCAATTTGGAAGAGGGGAATGCCGGCAAAATGGATTGTGGATGGAGTCTCTCAAGGTTCACTTATGGCCAATGAGATGCCAGAGCTCCAAGGAATCGAAGAAGATGAATGGGAAAAAGAAGGCGAGGAAGTTGAAGAAGAAGAAAATAAGGCGAATCCGGTTGAAATAGAAGAAGATAGTAATGAAGAAGAAGAATACGAAGTAAATTATGAAGAAGAATATCAAGAAGATTATGAAGACCCTTATGAAGAAGATTATGATGATTCATTTTAATATTACGAATAAAATGTCACTTTTTCTATTTTTGACACGTAAAGTTGTCACTTTTCTGTCAAATCGTTTTTATCGTTTTCGTATATAACACTTTTGTATGACAACTTTGTTCGTTATCGTCTTCAGAGATGAAGAATAATATTTCACATTTGTTTCACCTTTCTTATATTCTTTCTGTTCGGAAAGATTTAAAGCAATACTGAAGAAGTCAACGTTAGAGTTCTTTATAACAGTATAATGAGTATCTTTTACATTCACGAAGAAACCCTTCTGTTTCAACACAACTGCTAACTCTTGTGAAGTATAACGTTTGCGGTCAATGACAATGGCTAATGGTCTGACATACTGACCGTATTTAGATTCTTTCACAAACTTCTTGTTAAAGATAACATTAACGTTTGCAGCACCATTGAACTCATTCTTGATGGCAGTAGCGAGAGCATTGTATGAAAAGAACTTGCAATCTTGCATGTGTTTCATTAAAATAAAAATATTAAATTATTTTGAAAAATAACTTAAAAAAAATCTAATCTAATTTTTTCAAAAATATTTTTTATCCGATAGAAAAGATGACAGAAAAATTAACTTTTTACATAGCGCCAGACCCTTCTTGCCCACATCTTTTTAAGCCACAATATATAGACATAGAACTAAATAGAGAAAGCGAAATTCCACAATATATAGACATAGAACTAAATAGTGAAGGCAAAATTCTACAAACAGAAGAAAGCGAAATTCCACAAACAGAAGAAACATATAGAGACCTAGATAACGAAAATGGATATGCGCTATTCTGGTTAGATTGTCCTTATGAAATGTATGAAAAAAAGGCTTTATATGAAGAATATAGAAAATATTGTCATGAAAACGACATAAGACCAAGCTCTAGAGAAAAATTCTATGCTGGTATAAAACATCTTTTCGAAGTTCGGAATGGCAAATATAGAAAGAAATAATTTTTCTAAGTTTATTTTTTCGAAAAATATTTTTTTATTTCCTACTAAAGATGTATCGGAAGTTGTCTAAGTTAGAACACTCGGAAATAAAACAACTTCTAACAGAAGCTAACATAGAAGTAGCAAAACATTACGCGACAAACAAAAAAGCACTCGCTGACATCCTCAATGACTACAATGGTGCTATAAGTTATGATAGAATTCATGAGTTCATAAAGCCGCAACGCGGCGAGGACGAAGTCCATGCAAGAGCATTTCCTTTAAATGACGTTGCTATTGACTTATATCATAGACGTTCAGTACCTCATGAAGTATGACGTGAGATGTTTGACATAACAAATGCAAACGTTGGTCATACTCGTAAAGCTCTTTCGCATGATGTTCGTCAAGAGATGTATGACATAACAAATGCAAATTTTGGTGAAACAAGAAAGAGAGATGACACACTGAAACAACAGAGAAGAGAGATGTTTAAAAGTGCTATAGAACAAGTTCGCAAAGCTAACGATGTCATTCGTTCCATTGACGACAAACCAAAAGAAGGTGAGAGATGGTTAAAGAAAGATGAAGAGAATAGGAAGAGGAATGTGAAGACAGGCAATAGACTCATTGACTTTAACATCGAAGCTTTAGATGAACCAAACAGAGACTACTTACACAAACATTTCGGTAAGGTTTTCATGAGACTCTTAGAGAAGATTAAAATAAACTCACAACAAAGATGGATGGTATGTTATAAACTTGGTGGAAAGTATGAATGTTCTACGTTAAACCTCAATAATATTGGAACATTACTACATCAGCTCTTGAAGGAGAACTTTATATCAGAGATAGAAGCAAATGCTGCAGGTATTGTTGAAATGCACTATGACTTCTTCTTGACAAACATAAAGAATCTTACTGAAATAAAGATGTATGATTTAACTGAATATGAAGGCTTAACGATGTCAGATGTAAAGAAAGGCAAACCAAAAAAGAGACCATATAGAGATGAAAGCACACTGACAGAAAGACAGAAAAGATTATTGAACAGACTTAAACAAACAGGAGATAAACAAGATATAGATGACTTCTGGAATGAAATCCTTGGTGAAAAGAAGTTTTATAAGAAGAGAAGCGGTCAGTTCTGGAAGTATCTTTGCACATTACCTATAAATCTTGAACGCTACCAAATCTTCAATGAACTGAACAAAAGAACTGCAACACTTATGACAGAAGACAATTGTTTCGTTTATGCTTGCATTCAAGCTGGAGTAGATGAAGAAACTATTGACCACATGAGAGAAGTCATTCGTGTTAGAGACTTTCCTCAAAGTAAAGTACAAGAAATTTCTTGTAATGCATGAAAATTCGGTTCAATTCATTTTTGACACTTTACATATCGGATGTATTATCTAAGAATTATATTATAAAATAATAATTTTGTGTTTTATAAGTTTATTTGTATAAATTGATTCAAAAAAAATGGAAAGACAAGAAGTGGATCTGCCAAATGAAAATCAGATTTATATTACGGCATATCTTGAATATTCTATTGGCAAAAAGACAGCAGACCAAGTTGCAAAAGATTTGCACATAGGTAGAAAAAAATTATTATTAAAATGGCAAGAACTTGGTTTAAATCCAAAAAAGCTCGGAAGACCAGAAACTCCTCTTAGAACAGATTTGTTACCAACCATTCACGAAATAAAAGCTAAGTACAATCTAGGTTATAAAAAAGTTTTAGAGAGTTACATACATGATGACACAGTTTCATTTCACGATATGCTTAAATTATACGAAAAAGAGAATCTTTTCAAAATTCGGCGAGATCCAGAAAAAATTGATGAACATCCAAATCAGTATGTTTCCCAATACGTAAATCAGCAATGGCATACTGATTTAAAAAGCTTCAAAGAAGAGACAAATGGTACCAAGCATACTTATCATTTAATTGCCTTTATCGATGACAGATCTCGTTTTTGTATTTATTACGAAATTCTTCCCGATAAAACAATGAAATCAACTTCAAAAGCTTTACAAAATGCTATCGACTCTATCAAAATTATTCCATACGAACTTTTGACAGATAATGGATGCGAATTTACAGGAAAGGACTTCAAAAACGTTCTTCAAGTAAATGGCATTCAACACCATCGGACAGAACCTTACACACCACAGTTAAATGGTAAAATAGAACGTTTTTGGCAAACAATCTTTTCGGCTCGCCCAGATTTTATCGAAATAAGAGAATTTTTACCTCACGCAATAGAAGAATACAACACAGTATGGGTTCATACAGCTCTTAAAGATCTTTTCGGTGGAAAACCTACTCCAAAATCAATTTGGGACCAGGGTCCTAAATGGACAAAGGACTTAAACCCAAATCCTGAGTTCGAAATACAGCCTCGTAACTAAAAATAAAGTAAAAATACGAATAAACATTTTATTATAATTTAAATAATTTTTTTATTCATAAAGTAATACGATATATAGCTAAGCTATGTAAGGATATTCTGATGCTGAGAGTTTAAGAACTTTAAATTACGTATAGAAAAAAAATTCATTTAATATTTTGTAACATTTTTTAAATTGATAGATAGTTAGATTTTGTAGGGGAAGGTAAGATTCTTTGTGGTAATAATGGTCGTTGAAATTAAAATGAATGTAAGATTTGTGGAGAAATTGTATAAATTTGCATAGTGTTAGATTCAGAATAGGAGCATATGAGCCAGTGATTGTGTCTAATGTTTTTAAGGTGCTAATTGGAAGTAGAAAAGAAAAAAATTTGTTGCAATAACATCATATTGCAAAAAAGTTTTTAAAATATGATGTATGAATAAGAGTATGATTGGTATAGATTTGGGTTGTATAAATGTGATTGAACAATTGTTAATGGAAAGTTCAAAATCTTGGGTGCAATCAGTTCTGATTGCACCCAAGTTTTTGAACTTTGTATAAGGAATTGTTGGCTATGATGTACTGATCATGAATCAGTACATCATAGCCAACAATTCCTTCGCAAACAGCGGAAAATTTGTCTGATTCCACACTAATTTTATTAATTTATCTAAACTTTTATCCTCGTCTACAATTTACCCTATAATTTTATGAATATGGCACTTTTCGTCGATTTTCAAAGAATTAAATCGCTTCTATCTCAATAACTAATAAACATATAAGATTTTTGAAAGTATATATATAGTGTACTACATCTCAAGATATTATTAATATGTATTAGAAAGAATAATATATTGGATTTTAATATCACAAAATGACTTTTCAATTTATTGTAGTTCCTCACAGAGTTGAGATTTTACAAAATTCTTTGCAGATAATTTATGAAGGGATGATAGACTAACGAACTATAGATACATGAATTGAAAATAAAAAAATCGATTAAATATGAACCTTCATAAACCGTTTAAGAAACTTAAAAACTATTCTTTATTGTTTATTTTGGACGAAGTTTAATATGATTGTGGTTTTATTGGACAATAATCGAGTAACGGAAAAATATAACATTTATCTATAAAGTGAAAATTTAGAGGTATATTTCGTAAGATATTTCCTCTCTGATTACAAGAACTATTGTGAGCTATCAATCTAATGAAAGAGAGCAGATTTGGCCGTAATGAAAATGCAATACTTCGAAAATCAATGCAAAAAAGATTAATTTGTTAGAAACAATCGACTATGACACTGAATTCTAAGAGCAAACGTTTACATTAGGATATTTTGATCATTTCCAAATATTGCAAAATTGCATTTAAACAAGTTAAGGAGAATACTATATTAACCGTGTTGTAAGGAAATATAACAATTTTAAAGATTTTGCGACAGAATTTGAAAAAATATGAAAATCAGATATATAAAAATTGAATAAAATAACATTATGATGGAATATAAGTAGATGAGCTATTAATGCTGCTATGATTTAAAATTGAGTAGTAATGAAATAGAATTTCGATTAAAAAAATTAATGTAATCGTATGAAAGCTTTGATCCAAATAATTAATATTCGCAAATATTTTAACCTACTAATAAAATTCTGATTATATTAAGATATTTTAAAAATGAGATTCCAAATTGAATGGTGATGGAGATGAAAATTTTTAAAAATATAAATAAGAGGATAAATTGATTGAGATATTAACTAGTAAAATTTGAAAAAGTAAAATATTTGAAATCCTTTAAAAATGTCACGGATAAAGCTATATAAAATAAAATGACTGTGTGGTTGGTTAGCTTAATGTGTAATATCAAAAAGAATTAACGGGTGTTGTGAAGTGAGCAACTTGAGAAGAATCATTTGTGATTCTTGTCAAAGTTGAATCAAAGACAACAATTGATAGACAATTGTTGTCTTTGTGTACAACATTCACTTGAATTATAAACAATAACAAGTGTTTGTTGTTCACTGAGCAACTTTGAGAAGAATCATTTGTGATTCTTGTCAAAGTTGAATCAAAGACAACAATTGATAGACAATTGTTGTCTTTGTGTACAACATTCACTTGAATTATAAACAATAACAAGTGTTTGTTGTTCACTGAGCAACTTTGAGAAGAATCATTTGTGATTCTTGTCAAAGTTGAATCAAAGACAACAATTGATAGACAATTGTTGTCTTTGTGTACAACATTCACTTGAATTATAAACAATAACAAGTGTTTGTTGTTCACTGAGCAACTTTGAGAAGAATCATTTGTGATTCTTGTCAAAGTTGAATCAAAGACAACAATTGATAGACAATTGTTGTCTTTGTGTACAACATTCACTTGAATTATAAACAATAACAAGTGTTTGTTGTTCACTGAGCAACTTTGAGAAGAATCATTTGTGATTCTTGTCAAAGTTGAATCAAAGACAACAATTGATAGACAATTGTTGTCTTTGTGTACAACATTCACTTGAATTATAAACAATAACAAGTGTTTGTTGTTCACTGAGCAACTTTGAGAAGAATCATTTGTGATTCTTGTCAAAGTTGAATCAAAGACAACAATTGATAGACAATTGTTGTCTTTGTGTACAACATTCACTTGAATTATAAACAATAACAAGTGTTTGTTGTTCACTGAGCAACTTTGAGAAGAATCATTTGTGATTCTTGTCAAAGTTGAATCAAAGACAACAATTGATAGACAATTGTTGTCTTTGTGTACAACATTCACTTGAATTATAAACAATAACAAGTGTTTGTTGTTCACTGAGCAACTTTGAGAAGAATCATTTTGTAATACTTTGAAACACAAAACAGCATATTATGCTTTTATTTATCTATATGTGTCATTTTGGGAGACATTGGCTATGCAAGTCTCCCAGAATGACACATTCATACACAATCTTCTTCTGATTGTGTATCTTTTGTCAACAAAGTGCAACAGTGCACTGTTATTGTGTGCTATGTGTCATTGTGGGAGACATTGTCTATGCAAGTCTCCCAGAATGACACATTCATACACAATCTTCTTCTGATTGTGTATCTTTTGTCAACAAAGTGCAACAGTGCACTGTTATTGTGTGCTATGTGTCATTGTGGGAGACATTGTCTATGCAAGTCTCCCAGAATGACACATTCATACACAATCTTCTTCTGATTGTGTATCTTTTGTCAACAAAGTGCAACAGTGCACTGTTATTGTGTGCTATGTGTCATTGTGGGAGACATTGTCTATGCAAGTCTCCCAGAATGACACATTCATACACAATCTTCAATTCTTGTTTTAATTTTGTCTCATATTAACTGAATATCTCTCTTCAACATATTTACTTCTAATACCCGACAATACCTTATCATAAAACCTCCTTTAAATCCACTTTTTCTTCTTTCATTACTTTCAAATTCTAAGATTCAATTTTTTTTTCTATTTCATTCAGTTTTCTTTTATCAAAATCATATAACCATTCATACTGATTCTTAATTTACTATATTACATTGAGATTTCATCTTTTTTCATATTTCGAATTAAATCAGCTATTTAAACCTAATATCCGGACCTGTCAGTATTCAAATATTATTGGCCACATGTATCTGAGCATTTACACGGATTTTACCAAATTTTGCAAAAAATGTGTTATGAGATGGGTGTTTACAAAATGATAGAGTGGGTCATAAGGATCAGTTTTGCTATAGCTTGTACGGATTGAAACTCAATATTCATTCGGGAAAAGACGTTTCAAAATTTTGTAAAGTATTCAAATTTGCAGCTTTGTTCGATTTGAAAATTGAAATTTGAAACGAAATGACTGTATGAATATGTTCTTCATATTGAATCTAAGCATTTCTTGGAATTTGGAGTTTTTCTAAAAAGTTTTATCGGTTGAAAAATTAAAAATAAAACAAAAGAATTTTTTTCCGATTTTTTAAACGCATCTTAATTTTTAACGGACGAAGGAGTATTTGATCAAAGTTCAATAAGGCTATCACACTATATTATAGTTAGCTTGCAAAGTAAGCAATATAATCTGGAATTTAAGAATGATATAAAAATTTGATAATATAATTTTTGTGTGATTAAGTATTTAATATGAAAACATTAAATTTCATTAGGAATATTTAAATGTTGTTATGAAGGTAAAGGATAATAGTTGAGAAAACATAGATTAGAAAAATTTGCGAATGATTGTGAGGAATAAGTGTTTCAGTAGGTTGGATTCGATACGTGTAATAGGAAAAAAATGAGGATAAGATTGAAATTGTATTTATGAATAGTTTTAATAGAGTGTAAGAACATTTGAGAAGAATGTGTCATTCTGGGAGACTTGCATAGACAATGTCTCCCACAATGACACATAGCACACAATAACAGTGCACTGTTGCACTTTGTTGACAAAAGATACACAATCAGAAGAAGATTGTGTATGAATGTGTCATTCTGGGAGACTTGCATAGACAATGTCTCCCACAATGACACATAGCACACAATAACAGTGCACTGTTGCACTTTGTTGACAAAAGATACACAATCAGAAGAAGATTGTGTATGAATGTGTCATTCTGGGAGACTTGCATAGACAATGTCTCCCACAATGACACATAGCACACAATAACAGTGCACTGTTGCACTTTGTTGACAAAAGATACACAATCAGAAGAAGATTGTGTATGAATGTGTCATTCTGGGAGACTTGCATAGACAATGTCTCCCACAATGACACATAGCACACAATAACAGTGCACTGTTGCACTTTGTTGACAAAAGATACACAATCAGAAGAAGATTGTGTATGAATGTGTCATTCTGGGAGACTTGCATAGACAATGTCTCCCACAATGACACATAGCACACAATAACAGTGCACTGTTGCACTTTGTTGACAAAAGATACACAATCAGAAGAAGATTGTGTATGAATGTGTCATTCTGGGAGACTTGCATAGCCAATGTCTCCCAAAATGACACATATAGATAAATAAAAGCATAATATGCTGTTTTGTGTTTCAAAGTATTACAAAATGATTCTTCTCAAAGTTGCTCAGTGAACAACAAACACTTGTTATTGTTTATAATTCAAGTGAATGTTGTACACAAAGACAACAATTGTCTATCAATTGTTGTCTTTGATTCAACTTTGACAAGAATCACAAATGATTCTTCTCAAAGTTGCTCAGTGAACAACAAACACTTGTTATTGTTTATAATTCAAGTGAATGTTGTACACAAAGACAACAATTGTCTATCAATTGTTGTCTTTGATTCAACTTTGACAAGAATCACAAATGATTCTTCTCAAAGTTGCTCAGTGAACAACAAACACTTGTTATTGTTTATAATTCAAGTGAATGTTGTACACAAAGACAACAATTGTCTATCAATTGTTGTCTTTGATTCAACTTTGACAAGAATCACAAATGATTCTTCTCAAGTTGCTCAGTGAACAACAAACACTTGTTATTGTTTATAATTCAAGTGAATGTTGTACACAAAGACAACAATTGTCTATCAATTGTTGTCTTTGATTCAACTTTGACAAGAATCACAAATGATTCTTCTCAAAGTTGCTCAGTGAACAACAAACACTTGTTATTGTTTATAATTCAAGTGAATGTTGTACACAAAGACAACAATTGTCTATCAATTGTTGTCTTTGATTCAACTTTATTAAAATTTTTAATTATATCTTTTAATTTATATTTATTTACGTTCACATTTCTTTTATATCCTTTATATTAATCTTAAATTTTGGTTGATCTTCACTCTTTTTCACATATTTTTTCAATAAGATACCCAATTTTTGTATTTATTCTGATTAATATTTTTCACTGTTAATTTTAATGATATCTCAAACTATTTCAACATTTAGTTTTTTAAAAACTCTATTTTTTGTTCGAGTAGGGATAATTTTAGCTAAAAGTGACACACCCGTGAAGGGTGTGATTACCGATCGGTAATTTCGACAGTTTAGAATTTAAAATTTTTTATGGAACTGTTGCGAGTTTCATAAAGAATTTAAGGAATATAAGCAAAGATTTGAATCAAAATCTTAGACCTAAGCCGCTCGATTCGCTCGCGGCTTCCGCGAATTACAGATCGGCAAAGATTTGAATCAAAATCTTCGAACTAAGCCGATCGCTTCGCTCGCGGCTTTCTTTATTATTTTAAATTTGCATATTTCCATCAAAAGTTCATAAGGTAAAAAATTTCGTTTATTTTTACTAAGAAAAAAAAGGTTTTTGATAATAAATTTATTTTATTTCGAAAAAGTAGCAATAATCGTAAAAGGGTATTGATAGGCTTGCTAATGTAACTAATTTTAGCTGTCAAATACTTTTGTATTTTGAAGTAAATTAGTATAAATTTGTTTTTACTTTTATTTCGAAAAAGTAGCAATAATCGTAAAAGGGTATTGATAGGCTTGCTAAAGTAACTAATTTTAGCTGTCAAATACTTTTGTATTTTGAAGTAAATTAGTATAAATTTGATATTATTTTAACTCCCTTTGAAAACCTCAATTTTCCATACAGAGGGAACGGGAATAGCATCCAATATTCCCTGAGAATGGTTGCGCATTCTCAGTTCCCTCTATATTTCGAACGAAGCTCTCATCGGTCTTTTTTTTTAATACTAAACGTTTTTTTTCCTGTCACTTTTAGCTAAAATTTGGGTTTGCCTTTTTTGTTCTCTCTCTCAATTTTCAAAAGTCATTAATTTTGCATTACTTTATTTAAAATATAATTAACATTGGATAAAAACATTTATTATAATGCCATTTTGGATCAATCTTATGATATTTCAAATCTTTTAAAATACACTCATTCATAACAAATAGTTGCCCTAGACATGTGCGTAACCTCTGTATACGATATTCCAACACCTTACGACCTGTATGCAAGTTTTTAATTATTGAATAAAAAAACAACAACATACCGTACTTCGAGTATAAAACATGTATACCCTAATAAAAACAAAAATTAGGACATATTTGATTTATGATTTCTTTTCACAAATCGAAATTTTGATCTCTCAATTTTAAACATTTTTCAAAAAAAACTTATAAATATATTTCTTATTGTATAATATTGAAAAATAAATCATCATGGATGAATATTACTAGTACTTCAGAATTATTTATTTTTTCGATCTAAATATAGAAATAATATATACTCTATATAAAAATAACAATTATTTAATTTTATTGAAATTTTTATTATTTGATTAATATATTTTATATGATATCTTAAATAGCAATAAAAACTACACCACATAGTTATTCTAGGGTACCTTCATCTACTTCTAGAATTCTAGGCTCTGGATTCGAATCTATGGTGCGCTATTGATAAAGTAAATTTCTCCATAGGCCCCAAAAAAATTGACAACCCAGGAATTATAGGGTAATCATCAATAATTATCTCTTGTTCTATTTCACTATTATATATATATATATTTATATGATTTGATTTAAAAAAAAATAAATAAATAAATTAATAAATCATTTACTCAAATATATCAAAAGTTTTATTTTTATATATAAAGATAACTACTTTTAAAAAAAATACCCTATATATTTATGCCATGTAAACTATTTTTGTCATGTAAACTTATCACCTTCTGTCAGAAGTGAAGTGAATTTTCATGCACAACATTTCCTAGATTTTTTAATTTGAATTTCCCAAAATTTAAACGTGCGTGGATTTGATTTTATACATTTCATGGATAAAGTTCCTCCAATTCAGCCAAAGTCAAAAACCATGCAAGCGCTAGATAATTTTAGTCAGTTATATAAAGGATTGGAACATACATCCAAAGTAATTCAAACTTTTATAAATAAACATTCTGAAAAATATCAGAAAACAGAAATGTTTAAGGTATTATGCTCATTATTCGACTTATTTCAATCAGAAATTACAGCAGGAATGCAGTTGAGAGAAACAGTATTTAAACAAAAACAAGAAATCAAGGCATTAAAGGGAGATTATCAGACTTTCCTGAAATTATTCTCTTCAATGGCAAACACTGAGATAACAACAATGAAAAATGCAAAAGAATTTGTCGAAAATTTTAAATTACCATCCATAAGCTCATTTAATGCATTACAACAAAATCAAACAGAACTTGTTATTGAAAAACAACGAACTACTCAGCTATTAGCTGAAAATGAAGAAATAAAGCAGAAACTAGCGAATATGTCAAGAAATATTCAAAACATAGAAGAAAACTACAAACAGAAGCTCTCCAAGATTACAACAGATAGCAAAAATATCCAATTACAAAATACAAAACTATTACAAGATGAAGAAGTTCTCAGGAAAGAGAACGATCAACTCAAGTCAGATATTACAAAACTTAAACAAGCTTACTTAGACAAAATCAATACAGAAACGTCAAAAAGGGTTCAAACATTGAAACAAGAAAATCTTCAACTAAAAGAAGAAATTGATCAACTCAAACAGAAGAATAAAAGCTTTGTCGATCAATATGCTTCATCTATTGGTAATTCTCCTAGCAAAAAAATTCGTAAAGTTGCTACAAAAAGTTCCCCAGACTCATTTCGGAAACTTATAATTTTAGGTATTTTTTGCGTCAAACTACTAAAAACGCGTAATATATCCGAAGTTGAAATTTTGAAAGAGGAAATACAGAAAACGAAATCAAAACTTGAACAGATGGATAACTGGTGATCTATTATAGCATATTATGACTTTTATACTATTGTTATTTAATTTTGTTGTTATATCATGTTGGGTAAATCGTAAAATTTAAATCGTAATAGTAATTTCTTCCTGCAACATATCCTACCCATAGTGTAGTTTTATTCTATAAAAAAAGAAATTTCGAAATTGAGCACAAGAACTCTAAATTTGAACGAGTGATCTTGATATAAAACACTGTATTTTGCTTGTTTTGAACAATATACGCTGATACCAACCATATCAATTTCATTTTGGTATGAAATCAACACCTTCTAAAAATTATTGAATCCAAAGGTGAAACCCAAATAGAGGATACAAAGCCTAAGCAATCACTTCTTATTTTAACTGCCCATGACTAGAAAGTAAAAGGACAGTTGGAAAAATTTATTTTATAAACGGACATTTTATGCAAATTAGCCAAGACACTAAGTTCAAATAATTTCCATTTGACGGTTGATTTTACTTCTCCGATCTGCATGCGCATTGAACACGAATAGACTGAATCGTGATAAATCAAATCTTTATGACACAAAAAAACCACTCAATTGATAGTGAGTCAATGATTTTCACCCATAAAATACACATGGAAAGTAGTTTTCTTTAAGAAACTGGAAAATGCATCCATAAAAATAATTTTAAATTTTGGTTTTGTTTATGATCCCATTTTATACAAAGTTAAAATTGGGGTCAACACTGATCTCAAAAATTGAGAACTTTTCAGTACCTCTCATTGACCCAGTATAATTTGAGAAATTTACATTTGTAAATAATTTTATTTCATCAGATCTTTTAAATGTCGACAACTTTTGACGTTGATGCGATGATCGAAGAGCTCTGGAAGGCGAAAAACAAGCCTTCTGCAAAGAGAATCCTCAGTAAAAACGAACTCTTATACCTTTGTTCAGAGTCACTTAAAATATTTCAGAAACAGACCATGCTTTTGGAATTAATTCCTCCTCTTACTGTCTGCGGTGATATCCACGGACAATTTAATGATTTACTAAGGACATTCGAAACAGGAGGTTCACCAGAAATTACAAACTATTTATTCCTTGGAGACTACGTTGATCGTGGAAGCCAAGGAGTCAACGTAATTGCACTTCTTTTCTGCTACAAAATTAAATACCCGAATAATTTCTTTTTGCTTCGTGGAAACCACGAATCTCCACTTGTCAACAAAGAATACGGCTTCTACGATGAATGTAAAACACTCTACGATGTCTCCGTTTGGAAGACAATCAATGATGTCTTCGCATGGCTTCCAGTTGCAGCTACAATCGACAGTCGTATTTTATGCGTCCATGCCGGCATTTCTCCAGCTCTACAATCTATCCAGAATATCAAGGCCCTTAAGAGACCCCTTGAGATCCCAGATGAAGGTCTTTTATGCGACTTGGTGTGGTCTGATCCAGATCCAAACGTTGAGACGTGGGGACCTAATGATAGAGGAACCAGCGTCACGTTCGGCCTTGCTCCTCTTAAGGCTTTGTTAAAGAAGATGAATCTCGATTTGATAGTACGTGCACATCAATCGGTTGATACAGGTTACGCATTGCCATTTGCACCAGATCGCTCAATGGTTACAATCTTTGGAGCACCTAATTATATGGGAGAATTCAGAAATCGCGCAGCGCTTTTACATATATCAGATAAAATGGTTTGCACGTTTTCAATTCTCGAGCCGATAATTCAACCGGTGTCAAAATCTCCAACTCGTCGTGCGGCAAATGACGCAAAGTATCGCAATCCGAAAGTGTAATATGTATATTATATTTTTATAGTTATTATATAAACCGAGCCTTTCATTTGATTGATATGGAAAGACATTTATTTAAATTTTCGTTTACCATTGCTACAATTTAATTTTATTTACATTTTTTACAAAAAAAATATTTAGACAATAAGAATTTTCCAAACAATTCATATCAATTTTTAAATAGGTATTAAATAAGAAATTTTAATGGCACAGTTTAAGATAAAATAAATATAAAAACAGATTTTTATTGTTTCTTATGCTTTGATTGGAACTCTTCAAAAACCTTAATGAAGTCATTTGCTTTTGTTAGTTGAGCAATATCCATTAAGTTCATTGAATTCTTCCAAAAAACGCTTGTATCCACGTTTTTCTCTAAAAGTAGTCGTGCAACCCCAGGAGAGTTCATCCAAGCGCACCATTGCAGTGCAGTTCTCCCGGAATGATCTACAGCATCAGTTTTAGCACCATTTTCAATTAAAAATTGCGCAACTTTATAAGAATCATTCAACGCACTCAGCATCAAGGGATTCATTGATGTTTTATCTTTCATGTTGATATCGGCGTTTTTGGAGATCAAAAATGAAGCAATATCTTTGAAATCCAATTCTGCAGCGTAATGCAAAGCAGATTTTTTCTTGGGACCACTCACACCACTGATATTTGCCCCTGAGTTAATCAGATACTCAACAAAATCCTTCACTCCGAAAAACACTGAAAAGGCAATGGCGTTGTCACGTTTTCCGGATATGAAAATTTTATGACAAAACAATTCGAAATTAAAAGCATAAGCTGCTGTTCTAAATGAGTAACTGAGATTATATTTTTCCATTAGATAGTATACCCCTTCGTTGTTATGAGCTTTGACAGCGTTTTCTATGCATCTTTTTGTTGGGTTAACAATTTGCTCGCAAATTTGAATGATTTCGAAGTCTCCTCCGATAAATGCAGACTCTAATGTATTCTGTTGAACCTCAATGCCATTGCAATGGAAGAATTTAAAGCATGCTAGCGATCCGTATAAAGCAGACCAACCTAATAAATTTTTTCCATTAATTTCTTGATGAATATCTATGCTTTTATCATCTACTAGTTTTTGTAAGGATTGGAAGTCATCATGGACTATAAAATTAATGATTTGCTCTTCATGAATATCAAAAACAAATTGAACTCCATCTTGGCTATTTTCTTGATCGTTTTCCATATGAACATACACAATACCATACTTTGAACGAAGGTATTCACATAGTTTTCCAAATTGAAATCGATAAATATTAAAATCAAAATTATAATTTTCATGAAATTGCTCGAGTAATGATACATAACTAATAAAATTAGGATGATGAAGCTCACATGCTTGATCGATCATTCTTGCTATTGTATGAAGAGGTATTTGATACTTATCAACGCAGAATTTTAAGGAATTAAAGGCTGTAGATACAGTATCTGCTGTCAGGTGATACAGTTCATTAATAAATCTTATATAATCAGGAAATGTTTGATTGATGATTTGTGGTGAAAAATTTTCGTCCATTTATATTTTTTATTTTTAAAAGGGAGAGATCATTATAAAAATTGGGGATGGCAAATTTCCCTTTCCCACTTTTTTTATTTATATTTTTTTTTCCTTCTTTATGAGTGACGACAATCAACCAGAAGTCAAACAGCCAAAACCAAAGAAGGCTGCAAAGGGAAAGGAGAAAATAAACGATGATCCACGTACACATGTTTACAAAACACTTGAAGATGGCAGTCAATACTTAGAGCCAGTCAAAAGAGCAACTTACATTAAGAAAATCGAAGTAGAAATTTGCCCTGTATGCGGCTTACCAAAATGCTATTGCCGCTTCTCAGAAAAACATGATGGCGGTGATCCAAAGGCAAAACAAAAAGCTGAGGCAGCAAAGGCAGCAGCAGCTGCTCAGCCACCTCCTAATAAAAAGCAAAAAACACCGAAGAAAATTGAAGTTATCGTTAAGGAGAGAAACAAATACAAATCCATTACTACTGTCACAGGCCTTGAAAAGCGTGGTGTTAATATCAAAGAATTTACAAAAGCTCTTGCAAAGAAGATGTCTTGCTCCGCTGCAAGCAAAGACAAGGGAGGAGAACAGACCATTGTTATACAGGGTGATGCTGGCGATCAGGTCGTCGAAATGATTGAAACCATGTTGAATATTCCAACATCAGAAATCACACTTACCCGTAAGATAGATACTCCTGCTCCAGTAATAGAAGATGAGTGATTTCTTTGATGTATGAAATAAATTATTAATAGGATGATGGCCAATTATTTTTATTTTTTTTAAATTTCTTATCTTTTTTTCGAATGAGAAACTCGTACATAGATGAACAATACTATCTTATGAATAACAATAAGAATTTTACATTGAACTTGCATATTTCTCAGATAATTTTCAATTTCATATCACCAATTTTGCTTTCGAGAAAAATTACTCTTCTCATTGATATTGAAAAATGTATTACCTTCTTTTTTATTTACTATGTTGAGAAAAAAACACAATTTTTTAGATTCCCAAATAAATTGTTCAACATATCCATATGATTTATGCACAAAATGATCCGAGCAAAGGCTGATATATCGTTTGTACATATTGAAATCCCTATCTCTCGAAATTTCACGATAGATTTCATATTTTTGAATTCCAAAAAGTGGCAATAGTTTAGTCGGTTTTTGCATTTTTAAAATGTTAGTCACCTTTCTCCTTCCAAAGTGAAAAAAAATTGTTTAAAATATAAAAAGAATTTTTATTCGCATAGGCGACAAACAAGGATTTATAAATAAATAATGGGGCTTTGAGTATTGATCTGAATTGAATCAGATAATTAGCCGTAAAAAATCTTCTCATAACGATTTCTCATGCATGAAAGATGGCTATGAGTGGCGTTAATGAGGGCGTTTGATAATTGGAGTTGGACATAAAATTTGGAGATCTTAATTTTTGAGAATTTTGGTGCGATCTTACTGGTACAAGCAAGAGTATGGAAGGAGATTGAACTGAGAAAAAAACTAGAGCATGCAAAAGAATCATGCTACAGCTTAGTTGAATGTCATTTATGCAAATAAAAATATCTTTTTCAAATTTCAAACAAATTTTTGCCACTTTTTGAAAGAAGATAAGGTAACAAACATTTTAAAATGCAAAACCTAGACTTAAACTATGCCGAAATGTGAGCTCACCGTTACGTTTTTTTCTTTTTTTGGGGGCTCGCAAGCTCGCCCCCAAAGAAAAAACCGTAACGGTGACTAACATTTAGGAAAAATTTTACATTAGATTAACGTATAAAATTTTTTAGATGAGTGTGAGAGAGAAACCTGTAGCCAATAGATTTCTCGATATGAAAGAGAAGGAATTTAAATACAAAACACATTTACATTTCGTTAAAACTTGCAAACCTAGCATAGATATGACTCAACCAGAAACTCCAAGGAGACTTTTAGTGATGCAAAAGAATCAGGAGGATTATAGAAGGAGAGTTAAAACTTATAATAAAGCACATGATCAAATGATACGTGACATGCAACGACCACACACAGCTTTCGGATATGATGATGATCATTCATCATCTTCAACACGAATGTATGGTGAAAAGAGTCTTGCATCAACTAGCGAGTTTAATACATTTAGAAAAGACTACTCAAGATCATCTTCTCGAACTCAAATGAGCGAACCCAAACATTCAGTTTATAGCTTCGCCATCGATTCTCCGCCAAGCAAATCATCTCCTCCACGACCAACAACCGAATATGTTCCACCAACAATTGACTCAGAGCAAGACCAAATTAATATTGGGAGTGGCATGGATGTTGAAGATACTATCATGAAAGCGGTATTATCATTAGGCGAAAATGCACGCAATATGGATCCAAATCGTAGCAAGCCAACTCCAAAATCAGATTAATATTTATATATGATTTAAATTTACACTTTCTTTTGTTTTGAATATTAAAAACATGTTTTGTTACTATTACATATATACTTTAAAATATTCACATCCTTCAAAGTCCTAATTTGGAAACCCTTGAAATCCAATTTCAAAGATTTTTCCAAAAATAAAGCCAATTCATATTCACCATAGTATTGAGACATCAAATTTAAGCTCTGTTGCTCGGAATGGCAAAAAGGGTGAATGGATGGGAAAAAGACAGTTGGTTTCTATCCATCACAAATTCAACTTATCGGAAATAAAAAGCTCCTAAATATGAATTAAGTGATTTGATCATCGTCTGATATGGTTAATTTCCATAAAAAACGTTTCTTTTAAAAAGTTGTACTTTCAAAAAGTTATTTTTTTGATAAGATATAGCGGTTATAAATTTATATGGATACATCACATTTGCTGGCTACGTACCAGCTATGTCAGCGATTACAATATCGTAATTATAAGATTCATAATATTTTATGCATTATTCAAAATACGTATGACCAACTTATTTGAGTCAACCGCAATGCTTTTAAAATTGAGAGCTGGATAAAAAAATGACACCAATCTAAGGCAAATCTAGGCTCTCTAATCGAAAATGGGATGCCTGGGAGCTAAAAGAAAGTCTCCAATGAAATAAGAAACAAATGGTAAACTTTTAATTTTTTAGTGAACATTAACAAGGTTTGATATCTTGAGAAAATCAAGATAATATGATAAAGATTCTGTTGGTGATTCCTCAACCTCAGTTTGGGATTTAGACGAGGAATTATTTGCCCTTAAATGTTGGAGCCTATTTTTGATGTTATTAACGGCTCTTCCTGGCAAGAACTGTTTTAATTTCACCCAATTACTCCCGATCTCATCAAACTTCTTTAATAGAATTGAATCTTCTTCATCCGTCCATTTCTCATGGGAGAGGAATGGATCTACATAGTTTTTCCATCTCTCTCTGCATTGGCGAGCTGTCCATTTACCTAACTTCTTGGCAATCTCATTCCAGTCTTTGTACCTACTGGATTCAACAGCCCTGATGAGCATTTCATCATCCATCTTTGTGAAAGAGCGCTTAACACGTCCTGTGTGGGCTCTTATGCTTCTCATAGATCGACTTCCTCCCCATAGCAGATTACTTTTACTTAAAAAATAATGAATTACTTTCAAAGACAATTGAATACATTGAAATCAACCGTCAAATTGCAACACTGATGAAATGATTAGATCAATAAAAATATAGTCTTCCTGGAATAAAAAATCACTGAAAGATTTTTTGAATGGTTTATTCATCATTTGTTCTTGAATTAATATATTGTTCAAAATATTACTTACCTAAAGCTTTTTATTTTTTGCCGGAAAAAAGATTATCAATCTACACCATTGAAAATTGATAGTTTTCAATATTAATATCACATTTTTTATCACACAAATCATAATCTATGATTAGTTCTGATTCAAATTGCAAACTATGAACCACTTTTCAAATAATAAAAACGTTTCCCTTATCACTTAATAACAATTACGTAGATTTTAAAAATCTATATAATTCATCAAAAATCAATTGCTAACGTTGTGATATATTTTTGTGAGGCTTTTATAAAACAAATTGTTCATCTTGAGAGTTTCCTTTTTTCCATATTTTAACAATTAACACATTAAACTATTATCGGACATCATATTACCACTTTCAAACCATTTTTCATTTTTGTGCGAACAAACAAATACATAAATTCGGAATTAAAATGGATTTCAAATAATTTTTGGTAGCTAGTATAACAATAACGACAATAAGAATTTTTCAAAATCAAAAAATGGTCCCCCAATAAACTTGTTTCTCAGATAAAATAATACAACATAGTTCAAAATGATGTGCTAACATACAAATAATTGTATTTATGCATGAGTAAAAAAATCTAACCATTATAAATATGAGCTACTCCATAGATTTGATAGCATCGAACAGCTTACCAGTATCAGGGAATAAGATTTTACTTCAACAAAACTCATAATGGCTTCACGTATTTCACCTAAGATATCTGTCATCGTTTATGGATGCATGGTTGTCGTTTTTTATTTAACTGCTTTCCTTGTTAGAGATGAGATATCTCCTATTTTAGTTATGGATGCTCTTGTTGGCTTCTTTTGCTCGATGGGGATGGTATTTACAATCTTCGTGTTCGGCCATATATACCAAATTATGGGTATTAGACGCAAACCAAATTTAATGGCTACTGCAATTTCTTCAATTTTATCATGCATCATTGCATATATCGTCAGTCCATTGTGCTTTCCTTTTACAGTTTGCATTAATATACCAATGCAAATATATTTATATTATGCATCCAATATGAAAACTCCAGACTCTTTTAATCTGTAATTTCAGATCACAATAATCCTTATTGCTCTAATTTACAGTACTTTCTCAATTCATCTGAAATATATCTTATTCACTATATCTCAGATATTTGATATGAAAAATGAAAAAGAAGGCAAATAAACTAAAATGTTACATTTATCCTATCAAAATTGCATGCGATACTACAATTATACCAAAAGAATGAAGAAGGGTATAAGGTAGAGCATCAGGAAAAGCAGAAACAATATAAAGGGCCACTCTAATATTATATAAACACTCAGATTAATTGTAAAATGATCCGAAGCGCATTGCTTTAAACTATAGTAAATGTAAGAAAGCAAATTCTTTCACAGTTAAATCCCTTGATTTTCTCTCAATCATTTTGCTCTTTTTCTTTTTGAACTGTTGAATCACCTGGAGAGATATACTTCTAATGAGTCAATATTTTATTTCTTATTGATTGCAATTTAAATAAACCAAACTTCTATACAATCGTTGAAATTGGCGAACATTTTCATCATGAAAATAAATGAATCCACATATAAATTTAACTAAAAAAGTAGTACAAACCAGTGATGGGTTAAGTTTTCCAATGATCTGATTTTTTCAAATTGTGCTTATCGTGAAAAATAATTAATTCTTCACATTTTGATGCCTGATTTTGCATATGTGGCATCTATATGTGAATGGAGATTACAGCAAATGTAATTTGCTAAATCTAAGACCATTGATTTTTTAATTCCTTCACTTTAGAGTTAATTTTCAATCAAAACATGATTTTTGATATAATATAAATACAATTAATTAGTAATAATGATAACAATTGACGGTAAATAATGCCGAAAATTTGAATACACAGATTTTAATTTACGCAGAAATGAAATATTTTTACATAACATATTAATACTAATACATCTTCTAGAAATATAAATAATTTTTCTATATCAGTTCTCAAAAAATTGAGACACCCATTCATATTCGTAAAATATCAACCTACAATTGAAAGCATCGGAATTAGTATATGATTCTAATGTACATCAACCACTCTATTATTTGCTTTTTTTTTCTTATCTGAAAAAATTCATTTCGACCACCAATAAAATTTCCTATTCAGATATTAGTTAACAATAACATATTAAAATTTGATCTTATTGAATTTTTCAGTTTAGTCTCAAAACTTGTATAGATAATAGATGGATAATCAAGTTGTACAATCAATATTAATTAATTATGGTTATTCAGTGGTTCAAAAAGTTGGAGCTGGAGCTTTCTCCACCTGCTACTTAGTTGTTGATGAAAAGTATAAACGTCAGTTTATTTGCAAAGTTATTGAAGTACCAAATGACAATGATCATGCAATAACCGTCAAGAGATCCTATTATAACGAAGTTAATGCCCTTGTAGAATGCATTCATCCAAACGTAATCAAGATTTATAATAATTTCATTGAGAGAAACATGCTATTTATTATTTTGGAATATTGCAGCGGTGGATCCATTGACAAACTAATCCAAAAGAAAGGGCCTCTGAAGGAAAGCGATCTTTTTAATTACACTTTAGAATTTGCCTATGGTTTATCATACTGCCATTCAATGGGAATTGCTAACCATGATATCAAGCCAGCGAACCTGTTACTTGACGAGTTCAACAAACTCAAAATTGCTGACTTTGGCTTCGCTTCCATCCAAAAATACGTGATGTCTGATTATATGGGCTCCCTCGCCTTCATGGCTCCAGAGAAAATCAGTAAATACAAGTACAATCCATTTTTGAGCGATGTTTGGAGTTTTGGAATCACATTATATTATTTGGCAACAGGAAATTTGCCATTTTATGGTATCAACTCAAAAGACCTTAAGAGGTGCATTCTTGGATGCACATACCAGATTCCAAAAACAGTTACAAAATTTGCTCAAACAATTATCATGAAAACACTACTTTTAAAACCTGCTGATAGATGGATGATGAATGATGTTGTGAAATTCTTGCGATTATGTCAGTCAAAGTACATATCTCCAAACAAATCAACAAGTGATATTGTTTTGAAGACAATTGTAATGAGTCGTTCAACAAAACTCAATAAAAGAAGTAGTGCACCAAGATTGTCATCATCTTCTCTCTTAGTTTCGAGTAATGACAATGAAGAAGCAGTAGATAATGATCAATTTGTTATTTAATTTTGTTTTTAATAAAGGTTAATATGGTTTTACTTAATTAACTCTGATTTCATCTATTTTTTCTTTCCATAACCGGGAACAGGACAAATTTACCACACGGCACTTTTTTTAAAGAAAATTAATGGAGCGGAGTGATACTCTGCTGCAGGAGCCCCAAGGCTCCCAATCATTACGAAAGGGAGCCTCAGGGCTCCTGAGAATCCATCAGCAGAGGCCTTTTCATTTGGCCTCTGCTGATCAAAGATTCGGCGAAGCCATTCTTCGTCTCAGGAGCCCCAAGGCTCCCAATCATTACGAAAGGGAGCCTCAGGGCTCCTGAGAAACCTCTTTGAGAAGGTTTTCTTTAAGAAAACCTTCTCAAAGATGATTGTCAGCATTCACTCAAAATCTACCAAGAGTTTCAAAGTTTCAAATCTATCTGAAATGAAGCTTTGAATCTCTTGTATATCTAATTGTAGAGGTACCTTTTCAAAATGTCTTCTATTGATTAAATTTAATCAGTAAAAGTCATTTTGAAAAGGTACATCTCTATAATTGCTATTGAGCATTCACTCTTGGAACCTTGGAGCTCTTGTGTAGTGCATGAAAACTCCAAGATTCTAGCATAAAACATATATCATAGACATAATTTCTTCAAATATAATTTAAGGTTATTTTTTAAAAAAATGAGAAAAGCGTAATTTAAGGTTATTGAAAAGTGACACTTGGCAAATTTGTCCCGCACTCTCCATAACCTTTTATTATCGAAATAATTTTTATATTTATCTTAATATGATTTTCGGGAACATTAATTTTTCATTCCAAATCATCAAAAGGAGAGAGGGTCAAAGTTGCTATTTGTCACTTTTCCACAAGAATATAATGGGGAAAAAGTTATCATATAGTTGATCTCATTCACTGATATGAGAGATGCAGGTAGTGTAATGTTATAAACAGTGGGATTGCTGCTCTAAGTCCTAGGTTCGAGACACATTGGCTTCATTTTTCTCTTTTTTATTGACGTAAACTATTCAATTTTTGTGTTCTCCATTCAAATTTCAGAATTTTTTTTGCAGATTTCACGCTACATTCGAAGTTACCTTTTGTAACAACCACCACTGCCTACGAAAGACGAAAGTGTGTCACGATTTCACCCGGAAATCCGACGGTTGTTTAAGAGTAAGCACTTTTGGCACCTACTCTCATCAAAAGTTAATTCATCTCATTTTTAAAGTTAAGATCCAATGATTACATAAAAATGCAAAAATAGCATATATAAAAATTGATATCAGCATGTATTATGTTAATCATTATTCAGAAATTCAAATTTCTCTTCACAATAATTCATTTCCTTTGGGCTGAGGTTAATCAATTTCAAATAAGTATTATCACGGTTCAAATAATTAGAATGATTTTTAAAATAGAATCTCACAGTCGATATATATCAACACAATCTAGCAAACACTTCTTTTAAGAGATCTTTATTTATGCTCTTCTACTAGATGAATTTATACGAGAAAAATAAGAAAAGTTCGAAAATTGTTTTCGACACAATTTGACGAAGAAAAATAGCATTAGAATCTTTCCAACGCTGAACAGGTATCGGCAATGCATTTGTCTATGCAATACCTGATTCCCATATAGTTTCCAAGGCTATTCATTGCTTAGAAGTTATCTTTTCCAAAAATGATTTTTTTTCCTTTTTTTTTTATTTTTTTTGGGACATCTTATTCAAGCTTTTTTGTAATGTTTATGCTTGACATATGAACTTAATGGGAAATTGAGATCTTTTCATGTGGAAACTGTTCTATATCCATCAAATACAAGAATACATGAGACAAAATGATATTGTTACATTTTTAATTAATCATTATGAAAACATTTAGAAAGATCAATCAAAAAGTTGTGACAGATAATTTGAAAGAATAATAATTTAAAATTTCATTAATTAATCAATATTTTCTATCTTTTCCTTGTCGTAATTATCAGTTTACTGTAAAATAGATTATAATGGCTCCGGATATTCAAAACTCCTAAAAAATAAATCTGATTAATCAAAAAGAAAAAGTATTGCACTGCCCGGGAATCGAACCCGGATCAAAAGCTTGGAAGGCTCTCATGATAACCACTACACTAGCAGTGCTTTACATTAAATTTGCAAATTGAAGATCTTATGATAGGAATATCATCATTTCAATTCTTATAAAATTTTCATTGGCTCATAATCTCGGCTTTGTAGATTTTCATGATAAAGATATTTTGAAAATTCTAACTCAAATATCCTCTTCAAAAAGCTTAATTCCAATTGTAATTGATGTCATTTGATCGATTCAGTAATAGAACCTTACAGACTCATAATATCACAAACACCTAGACCATATATGACTGGTGTACTATTAATCTCTCTAAATTTTTCAAATATAATATAAATTAAAAATTATTAATAAGATATGACTCATCATGAAGGAAACCATATTCCATCCTGACAAGTTAGTATCTCTTGATGTCGATCGGCGAGAATCGCAAATCTTATTGAATGTCAAATAGTAATAAGTACAAATTAATGCTTGAACCAAAGCACTGCGTACATTATAGACTACCATATAGCCAATCATTGTGCGAGTGAGCCTCTATTGATGATGTTACTAAAGAATTGTAATCACAAATTTTGGAAAAGGTTGTGAGTTTTTGCGATGAGCAATTCTTGGAATGAAAGTTTTTGTTCTAATGATTCATTTTTCGGGGACCGGATCCAAGTTTAACTGGTACGAAAGCCAGACAAGTTGAGTTTAGTCCAAGGTTTAAATTTGTGTGTCGCAACTTCCTGAATGTAACAAGTTTTAGGTGCAGTGATCCTTGTGTGCGTGAGAGCGTGGGAGTGTGCGTGTGTTGCGACTCCAGTTTTTGTTGAGAGCCATTTTTGTCAGAAGAATTACCTTTACACAAGGGAATTGGTTGACAAAGTTATGACAAAGTGTCAGATCTTTAATATCGACACTGAATTTTTATTTATTCCATTATTAACGCATGGAACGCTTAATAATTTTTAGTATAATACATTCCATTATAATAAAAGTATCACTAACAATATCAAAGTTACTGAAACTACAAAATATAAATAAACAACAGAGATCCGAAAGTTACAATTCCTCGAGAACTGTAGTAGCATCACTCTCCTCAACATTTGAAACTGTTGATTGGGTGGAGACTGATAATGAGCTATCAGCCTTTTCATCCAGAGAAGAGTTGTCGAGCTTATTAATTTCTTCTTCTTCCTTCTTCTTAATATCCAACTGCTTATATCTGATTGCATAGTAGATGGCAGAAATAATGTGGATAGAAACACCTGTGAATGCCATGACATAAGCGAAGATCTTGAAGAACTCGAGGTAGTTGAATGTTCCACCGAAGTTCTTCAAGAGAAGCATGATTGCGCTACCAGCGTAACCGCAAGCATCTGTAACATAAACAAGGAAGCCGCAGTTGGACTTGATTCTGAATGTGGCAACCATTCTGTCGAAGATCATAGCATTATATGGAACGTATCCAATGTAGACAGCAATTCCTGCCATGACCATCCAGAAAAATGGATCGAACTTTCCATGGTGGTAGAGGTAAGTTGTGATGCCAAAAGCAACATCAATAATGATGATGGCAACATGATAACCGAGGAAGGCAATGAAGTTGCTCTTGATAAGCATCATAAGACCAATTGGAGTAATGACACAGAAGCCAACAATGATCTCAGTATGAGAGTACTTTGAGAAGTCGTGGATTTCCATTTCCTTGAAGAGTTCTCTGGCAAAATCATCTCTGTAATCTCTGAATGATGTGCATGTGAGGGCAAAGAGTGTCATGCAAATGATACCAGGCCAGAAGAGCTTCAAGAAGGCGATTCTGTCGGCGTTTGTCATTGGGATTCTCTCTGTTCTGTGCTTTTTATCGTCTTCATCTGGTGGAGGAAGTAACTCGATAAGGAAGATAAAGAGGAAAATGATTGGGAGGAAGATTGCACCTGCTGCGGCAGCCATCCAGAATTCTGAAACGCCAAGTTTCACAAGTTGGAGGCCAACTAATTTGACAGCACTTGGAGCAACAATGAAAGCAAAGCACATAGCACATGCTAATGCTTCTGTTGTACGACGGCCTTCGAGATATGAGAAGACAATACCCCAATAGACACCCAATGGAAGGCCATTGAAGAACATGCAAATAACATTGTATGGACGAGGGATTACGGCGAAACCGACGAGGGCGAGTTCAGCAATGAGAATGAATGTGACAAGAATGAATGGACGCTTTCTTGGATCAAGGCCGGAGACAAGGACAATACCGGCAAATTTTGATAACATGTATCCGAATAATTGTAATAAGATTGCAGCAATCTTGAACTCGAGCTTGAAAACCTTTGGAGCATCTGCGTATTCTACTGCAGAGAATACTTTTCTGAAACCATACATGGAGAAGTAAATGCAAAAGCCGCAGATACCTCCGAGTAATGTTGTAGCAATTTTGGACTTAAGGATGAATGCGTGAGCTTTCTTCTTTAAGCAGCTATCCTCTGATGATAATAAGAAGGATGGAATTGCTAAAGGGCACATTCGAAAAATGAATTTTTTGAAGTCTCTCAGAATTCATCCCTGTCAGAAAAACGATGGTATTGATGGCCAGTTTTATATTCAAAATTGAGTGGGCCTTCTGAAATTGAAATTGAAGAACTGACTAAAAGGAATTATCATATGTTGCTTATTAATAGTTATTAAAATTTTAAGTACCGATTTTTTGAATAAAAATTTGAAAGAATTACTACAAAAGAATGTTGAAATTAGCTTATTGGATGCAATAGAACTATTTGTTTTTCGGCGAAGATTGAATCCGCTTAACTTCAATTTTTCAATGAGATTAAATATTGAGTAAAACCAATAGAGTCAGGCTATAATGCAAAATAAAGAGGGAAAATTCTGATAAATTTAAGATTGGAATTTGTGAAAAAGTTATCAAAAATTCAATGTCTTTGAAAATCGTAATCCATTAAATAGGTCAATTGACCAAGCATTACGAATTTAAAATTTAGGCTTACGGACAATGAATGAATTCTTTTTCTTCAATGTTGTAATTAAAAATAGGAGTTCAATTTTTGTGTTAATTTAATTGTGTGAACTTTGCTGGGTTTGAAATTAATCTAATCCAAAATGAATAAAATAAGAATATATCATTAATCCATAAACTCAATTTCAGAATTCTGTGAAAAATTTATCATGCGATCATTTATTGTGTAATTTATGTATGATATTTTACATACAAGCAGGTATATAAAAAATCGAATTTATATTCATAAATTTTTTTTGGCAAAATAACAATACGAATTTTAAAAATTGAATCTAATGCTTTAAGTCGAGTATTTTTAATGCACAAATATATTGAACCGTAGATTTTCTCAAAAGTGTCATTTCAAAATTTCATTCAAATTAATGATCGGAACTAATATTGATACTCTATTTCGACCAGCTTGTATTAATATTCATATTTATTTATCTATTCAAGTGTTATAGACCGAAAATAGATTTTTTCGGTTTTCTGTTCAAATAATTGAAAGAATGATACTATTATAGGTTTATTATATTATATAGCATATAATCATGCTATAGCCGAAAATTATAAGTTTTGAGAAGATTGAATATAACACAAATAAATTTGAATGTAAGTTAAATTGCTTGTTGTTTTTAATAGCTATCTAATGAGAAATCCAATATTGAAAAATTCAAATTGAATGATTGAAAGAACAGAAAAAGTCATTCTTTTCAATTTCGAATATGTTTCATTGTATTTATAATAATATGGCAAATATGATATTTAAACTTGATTTTTGAAGGAAAATTCACAAAATTGAATAAATACAAATAATTTTTATTCAAAAATAAACTAGTTATTTGAGTTTAATACTAATTATCTATTCAAACTACAAAATTTGTAATTTACAATATTTTGTGAGATCAGATTGAATTAATTCAAGGTTCTTTTCAATTAATATTAATGACCATATTACGCATTTTCGAACATTCTAAACCAAATATATAAAAATGGGAGACGAATGTTAAATTTGCTAGACATGGGGAAGTTGTCTGCAAAGTTTTAGCTCTTATCTCTAACAAAAAATTAATTTTTAAAAAAATGACCGAATACGTTTCACAGCGAGAGAAAAATAAAAGGCAAGATAGAATTTTCTAGACATAAAGAAGTTGTTTACCGAGTTTTAGCTCTTATCTCTAACAAAAAATTATTTTTTAAAAAAATGACCGAATACGTTTCACAGCGAGAAAAAAATAAAAGGCAAGATAGAATTTTCTAGACATAAAGAAGTTGTCTACCAAGTGTTAGCTGTTACTTCTTCTCAATACTGATATAAAATAAAAATCTTTATTATTTATTTAACCTTTATTGTTTCATTAAACTTCATTTATTTTATATTATAGTTTTATTCTTTTAGCTACTTGTAAAATAATCTAATTTTATATCATCATTTTACCGGATTATTCTTCAGTATATCGATTGTGTATCTAAAATAATATCATTATCCATATTCTGTTTTTTCCAAAATTCTTTTAAATAGAAACAATAAGAATTACCGAAAAAGTGACAAAACATCAAAAACAGGGAGGGGTCTCAATTTTTATTACTTATATTATTTTACAATATTTATATAAATACTCTTTATAATATATTTTACTATAAAATTATACCTCAAATTCAAATATTTAAAATATTATTTACATAATTATCTCAAAATTATATTTTTATATATTATTTTTCATATGTATAAATCCTATAATCTATATCTATGCAAATCTCATCTAATTTTTTTTTGAAACAAACCGCTACCATTTTATAATGGTCCATCTTAAATTCATCATAAATTCTGGTACATGTTAGTACCAGAGTCTTCAAATCTCAAACACTCTGGTACCAACATGTACCAGACGCGAGTTTCCAATGCCCTCGTACGATTTTCTATTAAGATCTTCTTGAATGAGAAGGTCTTCATAGAAACTCGTACGAGGGCTTCTCTTTAAATACTCTGGTACCTGCTGGTATCGGAGTCGACTTTACAGCCCTTTCCACAATTTTGAAGCTGGGGAAAGTTTTCAAGCAATGAAAGGGAAGCTCTCGCTATGAGGTGAAAATCTAGAATTTTTACCTCATAGCGAGTAATCCTTTGTTAATTACTTGAAAACTTTCTTCAAATTATCAAAATTTCGAGGAAAGTTTCCTTGCTTCAAAGTAGAGATGGAGCCCTTTGAGCCACTGCATATAGGTCAGTGACTCAAAATACTCCATCTCTACTAGAAATCGCCAAAATTTGGGTCACAATCTTTGAAATGCGACGCAAGTTTGGGCAATTTCGCGAGGGACTTGCTCCATTTGGTGCATAGATTCACACTCTATGCACCAGATGGAACAATTCTTTCGCTGACAGCGGGAAACTTTGTCTGAATAGTTTAACATTCAGACAAAGTTTCCCGCTGTCAGAGAGGGAATGGAAGGGTAAGAGGTATATATTCATAATGTATACCTCTTACTCTTCCATTCCCTCAGGAAAGTTCAAAAACTTGGGTGCAATCAGAACTGATTGCACCCAAGTTTTTGAACTTTATATAAGGAATTGTTGGCTATGATGTACTGATCATGAATCAGTACATCATAGCCAACAATTCCTTCGCAAACAGTGGGAAACTTTGTCTGAATAGTTTAACATTCAGACAAAGTTTCCCGCTGTCAGGGAGGGAATTAGAGGGTGGGAGATATATAGATAGACTATAAATCTCTCACCCTTTAATTCCCTCAAGAAAGTTCAAAAACTTGGGTGCAATCAGAACTGATTGCACCCAAGTTTTTGAATTTTGTATAAGGAATTGTTGGCTATGATGTACTGATCATGAATCAGTACATCATAGCCAACAATTCTAACTTTTAACCAAAGATAATTGATTCGTATGTAAAATATTAAGCTAAAATTTCTCTTTCTTTTAGTACACATTCTTCCATTTCGTGTACATGTATCATATATTAAGTACTAGTTATCTATTCTATATCCTTTATCCCAATTTAGATACTCAAAGATAATTCTTTTTCAGAAGAAAAAATATTTTCTATTAAACCGTTATTTTTTCAATGTGAGTTTTCAATTTTATTTTTCCTTTTTGCTGCTCAATGCAACATCCTCCACCCGATCCTCCATGCGAGGTTGATCAAGCCATAGGATATTTAGAATATTCTCGTTTTGTTATAGCTGCAGAGCTGCATGGTAACATAAGATTTGTCAAAGACCCACAAAAACTATCAATTGGAACAGGAGTATTAATCTACCACCGATGCGAATACGAAGGCTGCCCAGCAGGCTTTAAATTTATTAAAAAATTCGACAATTACATTTTTAAATCTGCAAACTTAACTCATATTCACTCAGGACCACCACCACAACATAAAAATACACCTACAAGTGGTACTTACCGTGCTTGGATTAAAAAATTTCTCATGAATCACGGAAGTCCACTTAATGCAACACAAGAAGTCAACAAAACGCTTGAAATACCTAAAGATCATACTTGTATTCACATGACTATGAAACAAACTGCAATCAATCAATTGAAATATTATTTACAACAAAAAGATCTTATGAGATCTTTACCAGACATATCTTTAAATCAATTTCAATCTTACAAAACTATGTTAATCAATGGGAAGATCAACATGATGACCTTATTTATTTTGACATTCAAGGTGAAGATACTGATTTTCCAGACAAATTGGTTTTATTTACTCTGATAATGATATGATCTCTCAAATTCATGAAAAACCGAAACTGCAAGGATCTCCGATTCTCGATATGATAATTTATTTGATTCCGGGGGACACCCCGGTTATCAAATATATTTATTAGAACGGAAAATCTCTCACATTTCGAAAAAACCGAAACTGCAAGGATCTCCGATTCTCGATATGATAATTTATTTGATTCCGGGGACACCCCGGTTATCAAATATATTTATTAGAACGGAAAATCTCTCACATTTCGAAAAAACCGAAACTGCAAGGATCTCCGATTCTCGATATGATAATTTATTTGATTCCGGGGGACACCCCGGTTATCAAATATATTTATTAGAACGGAAAATCTCTCACATTTCGAAAAAACCGAAACTGCAAGGATCTCCGATTCTCGATATGATAATTTATTTGATTCCGGGGGACACCCCGGTTATCAAATATATTTATTAGAACGGAAAATCTCTCACATTTCGAAAAAACCGAAACTGCAAGGATCTCCGATTCTCGATATGATAATTTATTTGATTCCGGGGGACACCCCGGTTATCAAATATATTTATTAGGATGGAAAATATCTCACTTTTCGAAATTTTTTTAACAAAAATATGGCATTCTTAAATTATAGTTACATGTTATTTCACAATCATTATCATTAAAAAATTCAATTATTCAAGTTGTTTTGTCCCGACGGTTTTTACGGTTATAAAAATGGTTGCGAACTCAATCCATCAGCAAAATGTCGGTTGGGGTGCCCTTCTTGGCCTCCTGAGTACTCACCAAGATACCCCAGCTCCCGCAAAACACCTCCCTTAGGTGAGCATTAACTGATGACATGAGTTAACAATTCTACAAAATCATCAAGCATGAAGGTTTATGATTTATAAATCAAAATCTCAGAAACTGCTTGACTTTGCAAGTTGCTGTCTTTACCGGTTACTCTGCTGCAATCTCTTTTCTGATTGCAGGCAGAGTTCTGCATCCTGAGGACTTTGCCTTGCAGATATGCTTGTAATCACTACGTGAGCAACTTAGTGTTGCAAGTTGCTGTCTTTACCGGTTAGCTTTTTTTGAAGTTTCTTCGCATCTTATATAAGCTCTAGATCAATATTTATCATCAGAATTTGCATCTCATAAAGCACGATATTAATCAAATAGGCAAATTTCATTCGGAGTCTCTCATTAAATGAGAAACTCCGAATGAGATTTGCTCTAAGGTAATGTACTTGTTATGCTTGGCCTAGAAGCAAGGAGGAAACATGTATATGGTTTGTTTATACTGAAGTTATCTGGAATTCTCTCAATTGAGGATTCAAATCCAGATAAAATCTCAATTATCTCGTCATGTAGTTCGTATTTTCGCGTTCTGAGAGCGGAAAACGCATTTTTTGAATGCGTAGATTCCGAATCACACGGAAAAAATAGGTTTTAATAAGAAAAATAGACAATTTATGAAGTAACAAAGCACATACTATTATAAAAAAAAAAACATTTTTCTCATATGAAAGAAAATATAACGTATTTTTTACAGAGCGTAGGTATATATCGAGCCAATTCACACCATAAATTCTTTTCTCGTTCTCGGGCCTATAAACAACCTGAGGTGCACAACAATATTAACTTATACTGCTGTTATCTGGATTTGAATCCTCAATTGAGAGAATTCCAGATAACTTCAGTATAAACAAACCATATACATGTTTCCTCCTTGCTTCTAGGCCAAGCATAACAAGTACATTACCTTAGAGCAAATCTCATTCGGAGTTTCTCATTTAATGAGAGACTCCGAATGAAATTTGCCTATTTGATTAATATCGTGCTTTATGAGATGCAAATTCTGATGATAAATATTGATCTAGAGCTTATATAAGATGCGAAGAAACTTCAAAAAAAGCTAACCGGTAAAGACAGCAACTTGCAACACTAAGTTGCTCACGTAGTGATTACAAGCATATCTGCAAGGCAAAGTCCTCAGGATGCAGAACTCTGCCTGCAATCAGAAAAGAGATTGCAGCAGAGTAACCGGTAAAGACAGCAACTTGCAAAGTCAAGCAGTTTCTGAGATTTTGATTTATAAATCATAAACCTTCATGCTTGATGATTTTGTAGAATTGTTAACTCATGTCATCAGTTAATGCTCACCTAAGGGAGGTGTTTTGCGGGAGCTGGGGGTATCTTGGTGAGTACTCAGGAGGCCAAGAAGGGCACCCCAACCGACATTTTGCTGATGGATTGAGTTCGCAACCATTTTTATAACCGTAAAAACCGTCGGGACAAAACAACTTGAATAATTGAATTTTTTAATGATAATGATTGTGAAATAACATGTAACTATAATTTAAGAATGCCATATTTTTGTTAAAAAAATTTCGAAAAGTGAGATATTTTCCATCTAATAAATATATTTGATAACCGGGGTGTCCCCCGGAATCAAATAAATTATCATATCGAGAATCGGAGATCCTTGCAGTTTCGGTTTTTTCGAAATGTGAGAGATTTTCCGTTCTAATAAATATATTTGATAACCGGGGTGTCCCCCGGAATCAAATAAATTATCATATCGAGAATCGGAGATCCTTGCAGTTTCGGTTTTTTCGAAATGTGAGAGATTTTCCGTTCTAATAAATATATTTGATAACCGGGGTGTCCCCCGGAATCAAATAAATTATCATATCGAGAATCGGAGATCCTTGCAGTTTCGGTTTTTTCGAAATGTGAGAGATTTTCCGTTCTAATAAATATATTTGATAACCGGGGTGTCCCCCGGAATCAAATAAATTATCATATCGAGAATCGGAGATCCTTGCAGTTTCGGTTTTTTCGAAATGTGAGAGATTTTCCGTTCTAATAAATATATTTGATAACCGGGGTGTCCCCCGGAATCAAATAAATTATCATATCGAGAATCGGAGATCCTTGCAGTTTCGGTTTTTTCGAAATGTGAGAGATTTTCCGTTCTAATAAATATATTTGATAACCGGGGTGTCCCCCGGAATCAAATAAATTATCATATCGAGAATCGGAGATCCTTGCAGTTTCGGTTTTTTCGAAATGTGAGAGATTTTCCGTTCTAATAAATATATTTGATAACCGGGGTGTCCCCCGGAATCAAATAAATTATCATATCGAGAATCGGAGATCCTTGCAGTTTCGGTTTTTTCGAAATGTGAGAGATTTTCCGTTCTAATAAATATATTTGATAACCGGGGTGTCCCCCGGAATCAAATAAATTATCATATCGAGAATCGGAGATCCTTGCAGTTTCGGTTTTTTCGAAATGTGAGAGATTTTCCGTTCTAATAAATATATTTGATAACCGGGGTGTCCCCCGGAATCAAATAAATTATCATATCGAGAATCGGAGATCCTTGCAGTTTCGGTTTTTTCGAAATGTGAGAGATTTTCCGTTCTAATAAATATATTTGATAACCGGGGTGTCCCCCGGAATCAAATAAATTATCATATCGAGAATCGGAGATCCTTGCAGTTTCGGTTTTTTCGAAATGTGAGAGATTTTCCGTTCTAATAAATATATTTGATAACCGGGGTGTCCCCCGGAATCAAATAAATTATCATATCGAGAATCGGAGATCCTTGCAGTTTCGGTTTTTTCGAAATGTGAGAGATTTTCCGTTCTAATAAATATATTTGATAACCGGGGTGTCCCCCGGAATCAAATAAATTATCATATCGAGATTCGGAGATCCTTGCAGTTTCGGTTTTTTCGAAATGTGAGAGATTTTCCGTTCTAATAAATATATTTGATAACCGGGGTGTCCCCCGGAATCAAATAAATTATCATATCGAGAATCGGAGATCCTTGCAGTTTCGGTTTTTTCGAAATGTGAGAGATTTTCCGTTCTAATAAATATATTTGATAACCGGGGTGTCCCCCGGAATCAAATAAATTATCATATCGAGAATCGGAGATCCTTGCAGTTTCGGTTTTTTCGAAATGTGAGAGATTTTCCGTTCTAATAAATATATTTGATAACCGGGGTGTCCCCCGGAATCAAATAAATTATCATATCGAGAATCGGAGATCCTTGCAGTTTCGGTTTTTTCGAAATGTGAGAGATTTTCCGTTCTAATAAATATATTTGATAACCGGGGTGTCCCCCGGAATCAAATAAATTATCATATCGAGAATCGGAGATCCTTGCAGTTTCGGTTTTTTCGAAATGTGAGAGATTTTCCGTTCTAATAAATATATTTGATAACCGGGGTGTCCCCCGGAATCAAATAAATTATCATATCGAGAATCGGAGATCCTTGCAGTTTCGATTTTTTCGAAATGTGAGAGATTTTCCGTTCTAATAAATATATTTGATAACCGGGGGTCCCCCGGAATCAAATAAATTAGCATTACTAACATTCCTTTTTTATTTAAAATTTTCAATTCTTAAAACAAAGTTTTCTTTAATTTTAATATATTGTTATTTTTGAATAAAAATAAAATAATACTAATGCAACAAAAGCTTCCTAAAATTATATTTGCGCGTTAATTGTAATTCATAATGATTTTGAAATATTCCTCCTGGCCAGAAGAGCCTATTACTTGATTTTTGGCTTGGGATGCAAAAATAAATGCAATACGTATTTAGAAAGATATCTCAAATCCTTTACCACAGATAATGATGTAACTCTCCAGTTTGTTGATACGATCTTTATGGCGTTTCCTTTACAATAAATAAGTATGCGTTAGAAAAGGAATCCAATATTAGTCAGCCATTTCAAAAATTCACTTAAAAACAAGAATATCTTTAAAGAACTGAAGACAGAAGGGCTAAGGCTTTATAAAACAAAGTATATCATTTCTTAGGAACTTAATATGAATAATACCATATACTTTTTATCTATTACGAAAGAATTCAGCAATTTTCACACAGAATGAAGTGACAAGATATCTCTCTTTAAGTTACTATATTATTTGCTGCCTTTTATTCTATAATTAATGAAATTTTACTTTAATTACAATATAAACATATAAATTTTATAATTTCACATGAAAAAGTTCCTAACCACAAAATTGCCTGGTACAACCATGCCACCTGGCATCACCATTCCACCTTGCATCATCATGCCTCCACGGTTGTTCAATTGTTGTTACAATTGAGCGATCATATTTTGGTTTTGCTGAAGTTGATTTTGCATTAATAAAACACCTGCCTGCAATGCAGCAACTTCAACACATTTGGCTTTATAATCATCATCTTTGGAAGAAATAGTATTCTTTAATTTAGAAATTTCATTATTCCTATATGAAATACGTGACTGCAATTCAGATATGTCATCATCCTTGGATGAAATACTTTCTTTCAATGAGTCAATTTCGGAATCTTTGGAAGAAAGACGTTTCCTCAAAGTAGAAATGTCGTCATCTTTGGAAGAAATCTGAGATTTCAATGAATCATATCCACTTTCTAAGGAAGAAACGCGTTTCCTCAATGTAGAAATTTCATTATCTTTGGAAGAAAGACGAGATTCCAATGACTCAATTTCTTCATCTTTGGAAGAAATTCGTCTCTTCAAGTTAGAAATTTCGGAATCTTTAGAAGAAATCTGAGACCTCAACGGAGGAAGTTCCGAATCCTTGGAAGAAAGACGTTTTTGTAACGATGAAATTTCGGAATCTTTGGAAGAAAGTTGAGATCTCAACGACTGGATCTCATTATCTTTGGAAGAAATATGGGATCTCAACGGTGGAAGTTCCGAATCTTTGGAAGCAAGGCGCTTCTGTAACGATGAAATTTCGGAATCTTTGGAAGAAAGTTGAGACTTCAATGTAGAAATATCGTTGTCTTTTGATTTAAGTTGCTTTTGTAAATTTTGTATGTCAGAATCTTTTGAAGAAATTTGTGATTTTAATTCATTAACTTGCTTAATGGAATCTTGTTGCTGGGCAAGTTTTTGCTTAAGTTCCTCGCAGTTCTTTGAGGTTTCCCGAAGTTTGTTATAAAGATCATGGTAATGTTCTGTTAATTTTTGATTTTCTTGAAAAATTTTGTCGAAATGATAGCTGATTTCTTTCATTGATCTGAAATCAAGTTTCTCTTCAAAAAGAGTTATTAAGCACTTCAATTCTTTGTAATCTTTAACGTGGACACGAGCTTTATGAAAACTTCTGAATAAATCATTAGTACTTAATTGTTCTCTTCCGAACTTGAAGAGTAAATCAACTTTCCTCAATCCTAGCTTCGAATATTTCAAAACATTGACTGCAATTTTAATTGAGTCAAAGATATAAAAGAATGTTCCGTCTTCGATATAGCTAATTATATGCTTTGCCGACTCTCTATTATCTATCACGCAATCGCTTAACATTAGCCTTTTATGACCTGCGACTATAAAAAAAAATTTTTTTGAGTCGTCATAAAAATACTCATTAGACTAAGATACACATAAATGACTTTTAATTAAAATTGTTTTGCATTCAAATTTTGACAATGCTTACACTTTTTCTGACTAAAAATTAAATTTCCCAAAGAAAGAAATCTGTTTCATCTAAAGTAATATATGCTGGTACAAGGAACAGATTGGATATAATTATTGCAATATTTGCCCTAAAGCATTTGTAAATTCTTCGAAGCATTATAAGAAGAATCAAGTTCCTTTTACGATAGCTTTGTTTTGAGATTAACATATATACTATGGATCTAAAGGTAACATCCCTTAATCAATCTTTTTAAAAACTTTGTCGAAAAAATAAAAAATAAAAATTATCTAGATATAATTATCTTTGATGATCGTTATATTTGGAAGAGTCTTATTGAGATTACTTTATATCTTGTTAATAAATTTAAGATATTATAATAAAATTAAAATAAAATAAAACTAAAAATATTAGTTAAGTAACGCATTAAGAATAAGTAATTTTCCTAAAACATCAATAGCTCTGTCAGTAGAATCTTCAGAATCGGAATCTGAACTGGATGAAGATGATTTATTATTACTTCTGAGTTCGTCTTTTTCTTTGTCAGTTAATTCGCAACCGTGATCATCTAAATAAGATGCCAAATTAAGATAGATCCTACTCCTATTGATTGCGCACTTGATTGGTGTTCCAGAGTCTGAAACAATATTCTTCTCAACATTAGAATTATTAGCAAGGTACTGAATAACTGCTAATCTGAGGAAGAAAACACCACAATGTAACGCTGTTTCATCAGCCTCATTAACGTCATTGATGCTTAAGAAATTCTCAGCATATTTGAGGCCTTCAAGATTGCCTGAAATGCTGAATGCATGAATGATACTTTCTCCTTCTTTTGTTCTGAATTTCATGTCAACATCGCACTTGTTGAATGCTTTGACAAGAGGAAGATCTCCCTTGTATGCAGCATATATAAGTCCATTCATTCCCAAGAGTCTGTAATTATTCTGTTCAATGTCGCATTTGACATTAATGTATCCATATCTCACTGCATGTTTGATCGTTTCCATGTAGCCTTCTTGAGCTGCGAATGAGAGAATTGTGTAAATTCTGTGAACATTTTCAACTCCATCTGCTTTGCTGCATTTCTGGAGGGAGTTTAATGATTCTGATTCTTCATCTTTTTCGCGGAGTTGGCTTATTGTGCTTTCGTTTGCTGATATTTGTTGCTTCAGTGATTTTACCGTTTTTTCTGAAGAAGAAAGTTGAGATTTCAAAGACTGAAAATCTGAATCTTTGGAAGATAACTGTTCTTTCAAGGTAAAAATATCGTTATCTTTAGACTTAAGTTGTTTTTGTAATTTTTGTATCTCGGATTCTTTTGAAGAAATTTGTGATTTTAATTCACTAATTATCTTACTGTATTCTTGCTGCTGTGAAAGTTTTTGTTGAAGTTCATCACATTTCTTTGAGTATTCGCGTGCTTTGTTGTAAAGGTCATTGTATTGTTCTGTTAATTTTTGATTTTCTTGCATAATTTTATCGAATTGGTGGCTAATTTCTCTCATTGATCTGAAATCAAGTTTCTCTTCAAAAAGAGTGAATATATACTTCAATTCTTCGTAATTATTAACATGGACTCGAGCTTTATGAAAACACCTGAATAAATCGTTACTGTTGTATTGTTCCCTTCCAGATTTGAAGAGTAAATCAACTTCTCTCAGCCCGAGCTTCGAATATTTCAAAATATCAGCTGTAATTTTTATTGAGTCGAAGATTTGAAAGAATGTTCCGTCTTCGATATAGCTAGCTATATGCTTTGCTGACTCCTTACTATCGATCTCATAATTGCTTAACATCAACTTTTATTCACTGACGACTTTCTAAATGTAAAAAGTCAAAAATGCTTTAAAAATTCTTATTACTTAAATCTACGTATGAACGACTTTTTTTTCAAAATCATGATTTGAGAGAAATCAAGATTTGTGAAGTTTATTTTTTACATCAACCTGAATTTATTAAGGGTGCACATGAGAGGATCATGTAATGTAATAAACAGAAATTCATCAAAAGTGACAGCTCTCAATTTTTTTGACATTTGTAAATTCTAAATTGAATGAGAAAAATGAAATAATACTAAGCATAATACAATATTCTAGATTTAATTATAATTAGGAAAAAGTTTGTTTTGAGAGTACTTTTCATAGGCATATAGAATGAAATCTTCTGAAAAATAATATCACATAAACTCATATTATTTTCTAATATATAACTATTTTATATAAAAATCAAATTCAATGATCTTAAAAGCGAATGATAAACATCAAAATTTACGAATATAATGAGTGGGAATATAATGCTTATCTATCATAAAACCATATGAAATATCAATTTTTGCTTTACGCCTAATTTTTGATTTTCCATTTCGAAAAAACCGAAACTGCAAGGATCTCCGATTCTCGATATGATAATTTATTTGATTCCGGGGGACACCCCGGTTATCAAATATATTTATTAGAACGGAAAATCTCTCACATTTCGAAAAAACCGAAACTGCAAGGATCTCCGATTCTCGATATGATAATTTATTTGATTCCGGGGGACACCCCGGTTATCAAATATATTTATTAGAACGGAAAATCTCTCACATTTCGAAAAAACCGAAACTGCAAGGATCTCCGATTCTCGATATGATAATTTATTTGATTCCGGGGGACACCCCGGTTATCAAATATATTTATTAGAACGGAAAATCTCTCACATTTCGAAAAAACCGAAACTGCAAGGATCTCCGATTCTCGATATGATAATTTATTTGATTCCGGGGGACACCCCGGTTATCAAATATATTTATTAGAACGGAAAATCTCTCACATTTCGAAAAAACCGAAACTGCAAGGATCTCCGATTCTCGATATGATAATTTATTTGATTCCGGGGGACACCCCGGTTATCAAATATATTTATTAGAACGGAAAATCTCTCACATTTCGAAAAAACCGAAACTGCAAGGATCTCCGATTCTCGATATGATAATTTATTTGATTCCGGGGGACACCCCGGTTATCAAATATATTTATTAGAACGGAAAATCTCTCACATTTCGAAAAAACCGAAACTGCAAGGATCTCCGATTCTCGATATGATAATTTATTTGATTCCGGGGGACACCCCGGTTATCAAATATATTTATTAGAACGGAAAATCTCTCACATTTCGAAAAAACCGAAACTGCAAGGATCTCCGATTCTCGATATGATAATTTATTTGATTCCGGGGGACACCCCGGTTATCAAATATATTTATTAGAACGGAAAATCTCTCACATTTCGAAAAAACCGAAACTGCAAGGATCTCCGATTCTCGATATGATAATTTATTTGATTCCGGGGGACACCCCGGTTATCAAATATATTTATTAGAACGGAAAATCTCTCACATTTCGAAAAAACCGAAACTGCAAGGATCTCCGATTCTCGATATGATAATTTATTTGATTCCGGGGGACACCCCGGTTATCAAATATATTTATTAGAACGGAAAATCTCTCACATTTCGAAAAAACCGAAACTGCAAGGATCTCCGATTCTCGATATGATAATTTATTTGATTCCGGGGGACACCCCGGTTATCAAATATATTTATTAGAACGGAAAATCTCTCACATTTCGAAAAAACCGAAACTGCAAGGATCTCCGATTCTCGATATGATAATTTATTTGATTCCGGGGGACACCCCGGTTATCAAATATATTTATTAGAACGGAAAATCTCTCACATTTCGAAAAAACCGAAACTGCAAGGATCTCCGATTCTCGATATGATAATTTATTTGATTCCGGGGGACACCCCGGTTATCAAATATATTTATTAGAACGGAAAATCTCTCACATTTCGAAAAAACCGAAACTGCAAGGATCTCCGATTCTCGATATGATAATTTATTTGATTCCGGGGGACACCCCGGTTATCAAATATATTTATTAGAACGGAAAATCTCTCACATTTCGAAAAAACCGAAACTGCAAGGATCTCCGATTCTCGATATGATAATTTATTTGATTCCGGGGGACACCCCGGTTATCAAATATATTTATTAGAACGGAAAATCTCTCACATTTCGAAAAAACCGAAACTGCAAGGATCTCCGATTCTCGATATGATAATTTATTTGATTCCGGGGGACACCCCGGTTATCAAATATATTTATTAGAACGGAAAATCTCTCACATTTCGAAAAAACCGAAACTGCAAGGATCTCCGATTCTCGATATGATAATTTATTTGATTCCGGGGGACACCCCGGTTATCAAATATATTTATTAGAACGGAAAATCTCTCACATTTCGAAAAAACCGAAACTGCAAGGATCTCCGATTCTCGATATGATAATTTATTTGATTCCGGGGGACACCCCGGTTATCAAATATATTTATTAGAACGGAAAATCTCTCACATTTCGAAAAAACCGAAACTGCAAGGATCTCCGATTCTCGATATGATAATTTATTTGATTCCGGGGGACACCCCGGTTATCAAATATATTTATTAGAACGGAAAATCTCTCACATTTCGAAAAAACCGAAACTGCAAGGATCTCCGATTCTCGATATGATAATTTATTTGATTCCGGGGGACACCCCGGTTATCAAATATATTTATTAGAACGGAAAATCTCTCACATTTCGAAAAAACCGAAACTGCAAGGATCTCCGATTCTCGATATGATAATTTATTTGATTCCGGGGGACACCCCGGTTATCAAATATATTTATTAGAACGGAAAATCTCTCACATTTCGAAAAAACCGAAACTGCAAGGATCTCCGATTCTCGATATGATAATTTATTTGATTCCGGGGGACACCCCGGTTATCAAATATATTTATTAGAACGGAAAATCTCTCACATTTCGAAAAAACCGAAACTGCAAGGATCTCCGATTCTCGATATGATAATTTATTTGATTCCGGGGGACACCCCGGTTATCAAATATATTTATTAGAACGGAAAATCTCTCACATTTCGAAAAAACCGAAACTGCAAGGATCTCCGATTCTCGATATGATAATTTATTTGATTCCGGGGGACACCCCGGTTATCAAATATATTTATTAGAACGGAAAATCTCTCACATTTCGAAAAAACCGAAACTGCAAGGATCTCCGATTCTCGATATGATAATTTATTTGATTCCGGGGGACACCCCGGTTATCAAATATATTTATTAGAACGGAAAATCTCTCACATTTCGAAAAAACCGAAACTGCAAGGATCTCCGATTCTCGATATGATAATTTATTTGATTCCGGGGGACACCCCGGTTATCAAATATATTTATTAGAACGGAAAATCTCTCACATTTCGAAAAAACCGAAACTGCAAGGATCTCCGATTCTCGATATGATAATTTATTTGATTCCGGGGGACACCCCGGTTATCAAATATATTTATTAGAACGGAAAATCTCTCACATTTCGAAAAAACCGAAACTGCAAGGATCTCCGATTCTCGATATGATAATTTATTTGATTCCGGGGGACACCCCGGTTATCATATATTTTAAATAATAGAACGGAAAATCTCTCACATTTCGAAAAAACCGAAACTGCAAGGATCTCCGATTCTCGATATGATAATTTATTTGATTCCGGGGGACACCCCGGTTATCAAATATATTTATTAGAACGGAAAATCTCTCACATTTCGAAAAAACCGAAACTGCAAGGATCTCCGATTCTCGATATGATAATTTATTTGATTCCGGGGGACACCCCGGTTATCAAATATATTTATTAGAACGGAAAATCTCTCACATTTCGAAAAAACCGAAACTGCAAGGATCTCCGATTCTCGATATGATAATTTATTTGATTCCGGGGGACACCCCGGTTATCAAATATATTTATTAGAACGGAAAATCTCTCACATTTCGAAAAAACCGAAACTGCAAGGATCTCCGATTCTCGATATGATAATTTATTTGATTCCGGGGACACCCCGGTTATCAAATATATTTATTAGAACGGAAAATCTCTCACATTTCGAAAAAACCGAAACTGCAAGGATCTCCGATTCTCGATATGATAATTATTTGATTCCGGGGACACCCCGGTTATCAAATATATTTATTAGAACGGAAAATATCTCACTTTTCGAAATTTTTTTAACAAAAATATGGCATTCTTAAATTATAGTTACATGTTATTTCACAATCATTATCATTAAAAAATTCAATTATTCAAGTTGTTTTGTCCCGACGGTTTTTACGGTTATAAAAATGGTTGCGAACTCAATCCATCAGCAAAATGTCGGTTGGGGTGCCCTTCTTGGCCTCCTGAGTACTCACCAAGATACCCCCAGCTCCCGCAAAACACCTCCCTTAGGTGAGCATTAACTGATGACATGAGTTAACAATTCTACAAAATCATCAAGCATGAAGGTTTATGATTTATAAATCAAAATCTCAGAAACTGCTTGACTTTGCAAGTTGCTGTCTTTACCGGTTACTCTGCTGCAATCTCTTTTCTGATTGCAGGCAGAGTTCTGCATCCTGAGGACTTTGCCTTGCAGATATGCTTGTAATCACTACGTGAGCAACTTAGTGTTGCAAGTTGCTGTCTTTACCGGTTAGCTTTTTTTGAAGTTTCTTCGCATCTTATATAAGCTCTAGATCAATATTTATCATCAGAATTTGCATCTCATAAAGCACGATATTAATCAAATAGGCAAATTTCATTCGGAGTCTCTCATTAAATGAGAAACTCCGAATGAGATTTGCTCTAAGGTAATGTACTTGTTATGCTTGGCCTAGAAGCAAGGAGGAAACATGTATATGGTTTGTTTATACTGAAGTTATC